GGGGATCACTCTCAGAGCGTTGTTCCAGTCCCATCTCATTGTGAGGGCCTCCCACATTGAGAGCAACCCCCTGCACCTGCTTGGTGGAGGGAGGGAAGCAGGGAAAAGGGAACAAGAGAAGAGAAAGGAGGGAGGGACAGAGGAAAAGGGAAACCAAAAAGGACAAACCCCAATGTCCCCCGTGATTCTACAGGACAAAGTCCGAGGTAGGAGATCAAATTCTGCCACCTTAACCTACCATTTTCAGTGCCTAGAATTCAGCCAGCAGCAGGTGGATCAGACTGAACAGGTTCCAAACCTCTCTGAGCCTCTTACCTTCTAAACAAGGACTTGGGTTTTCTAGCAAAATCAGTAGTAGGGAAGGAGAAAACTCCAAAGAGGGTCCTCCTCACGCTCACGTACGGGAATCCTAATTCTCTCTCACTCCTCAAGGAGAGACCTCGAGGAGGAGACTTGCTGCAGCAAAGCCACGGGGCTCACTTTGATTGCCCCAGCCCTGCTCCTCTGTCCTGCCTGGCTGTTGTCAGGGTCTCTCTGTGAGATCACCGCCTCCCCATCACCTTTGCCCAATAGGCTGAGGTCCTAAAAAAGGCTTTTGTGATGTCACTGCCACGCCCACCCCTCCCCTGGAAGGCTGATGTCCTGCCTCTGGCCAGTCTCTTTGGATGTTTGAGTTGCTTTCCCTGGATCACCTCACTCAGTGACTGTTGAGTCTGGGGATCAAGCCGGCTACACAGTAAAACATCAGAAGCTGCTCCCCATGCCACGCTCAGGTTTTCATAAATTGGTAGCCTTTAAGGCCAGAAGGGACCATTAGATCATCTAATCCAGGGGTTCTCAACTTGTTTCTTTCTGAGGCTTCCCCAACAAGCTATAAAAACTCCACAGCCCACCTGTGCCACAACACCTGTTTTCCTGCACATAAAAGCCAGGGCCAGAAGTAGGCAGTAGCAATCAAGGCAATTGTCGGGGCCCCCACACCACAGGGCTTCATCTTTCTGCCCTGGGCCCCAGCAAGTCTAATGCCGGCTCTGCTTGGCGGACCCCTTGAATCCAGCTTGAGGTCCCCCCAGTGGGCCCCGGACCCCTGGTTGAGAAGCTCTGATCTAATCTGAGTCCCTGCACATCACAGCCCTCCGCTTTTTCACAATATCTGCTTTATGACTAAAGCACCTTCCCGAAAGGCATCTAGTCTTCCTCTGAAGACATCAAGAGATGGAGAGTCCATCACTTCTCCTGGTAATTTGTTCCAATGATGAATCACCCTCACTCTTACAAATCTATGCCTTATTCTAATTCGAATTTTTCTGATTTCTGCTTCCAGCCATTGCCTCCTGCTATGCCTTTCTCTGCGAGGTTAAAGAACCCTTTCATACCTGGTGTTTTCTCTCCATGAAGGCACTTACACACTGCAATCAGCTCACCTCTCAATCTGCTTTTTAATAAACTAAGCAGATTGAGCTTGGTCAAGGCCTCATTATAAAGTGTCCTCTCCATCTCTCAAATATGGCTCTTTTCTGCACCATCTCCAATTTTTTAATGTAATTTTTTGAAATGTGCACACCAGAACTGGATGCAGTATTCCAGTATCAGACTCACCCATGCTGAATCATCTCCCTGTCCATACTATGTTTATCTATCCATGGATGGCTTCTGCCCTTTTTACCACAGATCACAAACGCTCATATTGAGTGACTTGTCCACTAGGGCCCCTAAATCCTTTCAAGAGTCACTGTTTCCAGGGGACAGTCCCCCATTCTGTAGGTGCCTGCCTCCTTTGTCCTAGATGTATAGGTTTGTATATGGCTTTATTCAAGCCTAATTATTCAGTTAAGTATTTTAGAAGAACGACAGGATTAGTGAGAGAATCATGAACTGCTCAGAGACAATTAATGGGGAGAAGCAGCAAGATTAAACAAATACATGATTGGTTGTGACTTATTTGCTTGGTCTTAAGAGAGAAATTTTGCCAGAAGCTGGGAATGGGCGACAAGGGATGGATCACTTGATGATTACCTGTTCTGGTCATTCCCTCTGGGGCACCTGGCATTGGTCACTGTCAGAAGACAGGATACTGGGCTAGATGGACCAGTGGTCTGACCCAGTACGGCCGTTCTTATGTCTAGCAAAGATTACAGTTGAGTTTTGCCTTTGAGAAGGGTTTAATATGAGATAGTATCCTGCCCTAATCGAATATTTGAGAATTAAGTTCTACACACAAGCAATGACACGCAAAACAGAACTAAGGACTGGCTTGAGAGACAAAATAATAGTTGCAAAAGGTAATCCCCATTGGTGGATCAAATGAAAATTAAGTTTTTACACTAGGCCAGGAAATCAGTCAGACTGGAAGTATCATGATTCAACAGAATAAACTTGTGCTATAAAAATAAGAAGAAAAAGTTAGAATTAAAAAATCCAAATGAAAAATCACAGTAAAAAACATAGCAAGTGCTATACTAGAAACACAGATGTCATTGCTAAAACTACTTACTTATAAATATTTTCAGTGAGTATTTGCTATTAAACTATAAAATAAACAGCACTGTCAAGGTTCCTTCCGCACTCTGAACTCTAGGGTACAGATGTGGGGAACTGCATGAAAAACCCCCTAAGCTTATTTTTACCACCTTAGGTTAAAACTTCCCCAAGGTACAAACTATTTTACCTTTTGCCCTTGGACTTTATTGCTGCCACTATCAAGCGTCTAACAAATATATAACAGGGAAAGAGCCCGCTTGGAAACGTCTTTCCCCCCAAAATCCTCCCAAACCCTACAGCCCCTTTTCTGGGGAAGGCTTGACAAAAATCCTCACCAATTTGCATAGGTGAGCACAGACCCAAACCCTTGGATTTTAAGAACAAGGAAAAAGCAATCAGGTTCTTAAAAGAAGACTTTTAATAGAAGAAAAAGTAAAAGAATCATCTCTGTAAAATCAGGATGGTAAATACCTTACAGGGTAATCAGATTCAAAACACAGAGAATCCCTCTAGGCAAAACCTTAAGTTACAAAAACACAAAAACAGGAATATCCATTCCATTCAGCACAGCTTATTTTATCAACCATTTAAACAAAACAGAATCTAACACATATCTAGCTAGATTACTTACTAAGTTCTAAGACTCCATTTCTGTTCTGTTCCTGGCAAAAAACATCACACAGCCAGAGAGAGCTTTTGTTTCTCCCCCCTCCAGCTTTGAAAATATCTTGTCTCCTCATTGGTCATTTTGGACAGGTACCAGCAAGGTTATCCTAGCTTCTTAACCCTTTACAGGTGAAAGGGTTTTTCCTCTGGCCAGGAGGGATTTTAAAGGTGTTTACCCTTCCCTTTATGTTTATGACAAGCACAATGACATGGATCTGCACAATGATACCAAAGGTGAACGATGAAGTGCTCAGAGTAATAAAAATCACATTTTAAAAAGTAAACAATTAAAAGGAGTAAAACTCTATTTAAAATGGATTACAAAGACGGGAGTGCACTTCAGGGAATCCCAGCTGTGGATAAGACAAGTCTATGAACTGCTGTGAGACTTTAGGCAGACCCCTAAACTGATAAGGGATTCTTTTAAATACTCAAACTGTGACACAGAGTTTTTGGGGGTGTATGTAAAATATTTCACTGAATCAAGGCTCCTGTAGCCCCTCTGCGTCTTATATCACAGGGGTGGCCAAACTTACTGGACCTCTGAGTCACATACAACAATCTGCAGAAGTTTGAGAGCTGGGGCGCACCTGCAGGGGCTCAGGGCTTCAGCCCCACTCCTGCTGAAGCCCTGAATGCCAGAAGGAGCGCCCTGCAGGGCTGAAGCCTAGACCCCCCCACCACGCCCCCCCACTGCAAGGTCAAAGAGCTGCAAGTGGCTTGTGAGCCACAGTTTGGCCACCCCTGTAATAGATCAGCAAGGGAAGAGCTGCCGTGTCTAGGCATGGGGAGGCCCTGGGCCTTTAGGAGCCCAGCCCTGGGAAGCGGGGTGCTGGTTGGTGAGAGGGGACATAAAAAAAGCCCCCCGCCCCCACCCTCTATTTGCAAACACAGCAGGTGGCTCATCCCATCGGGGCAAACTGTAAGCCGCCCCCCCCCTTCCCAGTGCCGGGGCTTTGTCCTCTGCCCCCGTCTAGCAGCGCCCTCCCCGGGGGCTGAACCCCGGCTCCTACCCCCCACCCCCCTTCCCGGGGCTGAACCCCAGCTCCTACCCCCCGCCCCAGGGCTGAACCCCGGCTCCTAACTCCCCCCCCCTCCCGGGGCTGAACCCCGGCTCCTACCCCGGCCTGAACCCAGGCTGAACCCCAGCCTGAACCACGGCTCCTACCCCTCACCTCCCTCCCTGGCCTGAACCCCGGCTCCTACCCCCGCCCTCCCCCCAGGGCTGAACCCCGGCTCCTACCCCCCGCCCCCCTCCCAGGGCTGAACCCCGGCTCCTACCCTGGCCTGAACCCCGGGTCCTACCCCCCGCCCTCCCCCCGGGGCTGAACCCCGGGTCCTACCCCGCGCCCTCCCCCCCGGGCTGAACCCCAGGTCCTACCCTGAACCCAGACTGAACCCCGGCTCCTACCCACCCATACCCCGGCCTGAACCCCGGCTCCTACCCCCGCCCTCTCCCCGGCCTGAACCCCGGCTCCTACCCACCCACCCCCAGCCTGAACCCCGGCTCCTACCCCTCGCCCCCCCCCGGGGCTGAACCCCGGCTCCTACCCCAGCCTAAACCCAGGCTGAACCCCGGCTCCTACCCACCCACCCCCCGGCCTGAACCCCGGCTCCTCCCCCCCCCCCCCCCCCCGGGGCTGAACCCCGGCTCCTACCCTCCCAGCCCCGTCCCTGATTTTTGCCCCTCATCCGCCTCTCCTCAGCCTCCAGCTGCTCGACTCCCCCCGCCCGCAAACAGCAGGCAGCCGCCGCGGATTCCCAGCCAGGGCAGCGGGTGCAGCGGCTGCTCGGCACAGGCCCGGCGGCAGGGCCCAGGAAGAGGAAGAAGAAGAGGAGGAGGAGGAAGAGGAAGACTTTCCCGCTCCCCCACCAGGTCAGAGTTGGGAGGGCGCCCAAGATGGCTGCCTCCATGGGTGACCTGTTCTGCTTTTGTGCGGATCCTGCGGGCCCGGCCCGGGCCATGGTGGAAGTGAGATTCATCAGCAGCCTCAAGGTGAGGGTCCCCCCCCCCCGGCCAGGAGATCAGATCCTCCCCCCAACACCCTGGCCAGGGGATCAGATTCCCCCCCCCCCTACACACACACACACCGGCCAGGGGATCAGATTCCCCCCCCCCACACACACACACACACCGGCCAGGGGATCAGATTCCCCCCCACACACACACACACCGGCCAGGGGATCAGATTCCCCCCCCCACACACACACACACCGGCCAGGGGATCAGATTTCCCCCCTTACACACACACACCCTGGCCAGGGGATCAGATTCCCCCCCCCACACACACACACCGGCCAGGGGATCAGATTCCCCCCCCCACACACACACACCGGCCAGGGGATCAGATTCCCCCCACACACACACCCCGGCTCCCCCCCCCCCACACACCGGCCAGGGGATCAGATTTCCCCCCCTACACACACCCTGGCCAGGGGATCAGATTCCCCCCTCCCAACACACATGGGCCAGGGGATCAGATCCCCCCCCCCACTGGCCAGAGGATCAGATTCCCCCCCACACACACACACCGGCCAGGGGATCAGATTCCCCCCCACACACACACGCACCAGCCAGGGGATCAGATCCCCCCCACACACACACACTGGCCAGGGGATCAGATTTCCCCCCCCCCCAACACACACACACACCGGCCAGGGGATCAGATTCCGCCCCCCTCCCCAGCCACCCACCCAAACTCAGGTCCCTCCTTCCAGGCTGGCATGAGGGTGGCTCTGCTGCTGCTGGGAGAGACTCCGCTTTGTGCAGCTTGGCACAGCCCTGGGCATTGCTCCACCCTGGGGGGGGTCCCTCCGGGATCCCTCCCCTCGCAGCCCCGATGGGGTCCTGTCCAGCCTGCACTGCCCTTCCTTGGCTGGGAGACCCGCTTCTCTCTCACACACGCCCCCCTTCCCCACTCTAGGGACTGTTAAACCTCCATCTGTGGCTTCTGCCAGGGGGGAGCGTGATCTGTCCCTTTCCATCAGCCCCCATCTCCCGCCTTGGTGCTCCTTGCAAAGCAAGGGGATCCCTGTTCTTCCTGCCCCTGAATGGGGAGCCGTTCCTGGCTGGATCAGCCGCCCCCCCCCCACCTGTTTGTCTGGTTCCTGCCCCACCCCAATTAAAAACAGCGATTTTTTTTAAAAAAACAACATGGTTGAGCCTCCCTTCCCCCAGCTTCCCCTTTCCGGGAATTTGGACAGCTGAATGGGCTGGAATAGCTGGGCGCATTGGAGGTGTGCTGGGGGGCCAGTGGGGGTGAAGTCCAAGGCTGGAATTGCAAGGGAAAGAGGATTGCAGGTCAGGACTGAGGTGCATCAGCAGAGTGGGGTGGGGCGATCTATGGACTGGATTATAAAAATCATACTTCAGATACATTGGCAGGGCTTGGGGGGTGATGCTGGGGAAGCTGTTCTAAAGAGTGTTAGACAATTTTTGTTCTTGCTTGTGTGACTCCAAAGTGGCAGAATGAATTTGACTCAAAAGCTCCAGAAGAATTAATTCTCTTTCAAGGCTGATCTCAGCCCAAATGTGAACTTTCCCCAGAGACACGGGAGTGAAAATAGGGGAATGCTATAAAGCTTATAGCTGCTGTTAGCTTTAGCTTTGGGGCCCAAAATATCTATAATGCCAGGTTCATTTTATTGTCCTCACTATGTCGTGCTCTTGCAGATGCTTCTGTACTGGCTTATCTTTGTGCATGAGTTGTCCCCTTGATTTCAATGGAGCTATTCATATGTGTAACATTAAGTCAGTGTGGAACTATTTGCAGGATCGGTGTCTGTATTTGTTCCTGAGTATTTGTGTGTTATGATGGGATGGGAAGTCTTTTATGTTGAATTATTTTTACTCATTGATGCTAAAATGACGAGCAACAGATCACATAATAAAGAAATAGTACCAAGCTAGGCCAGTAGGGCTACATGGTCAAATCCTAGACCTTACTGCAGCCCTAGAGAAAATTACCTTACCGGTGATGACACAGCTTTCACCTCTTAGGAGGCTAGGAGGGGTTTGAATCGCAGTGTTTACCAAGGATCTCCCAATTTTATGCTCTAAATGAAAATGTTGTTGGGGCTGCTATGTTTGCCAGGTGACATGATACGCCCCCAGAGGTTGTTGCATTTCAGTGCTGCATGAAATGATCTTGTGTATTTAATAGGGCTGTCAAGCGATTAAAAAAATTAATTGCAATTAATTGTGTGATTAATCACATTGGTAATAATAGAATACCATTTATTTAAATATTTTTGGATGTTTTCCACGTTTTCAAATATATTGATTTCAGTTACAACACAGAATACAAAGGGTACAGTGTTCACTTTATATTATTTTTATTTCAAATATTTGCACTGTAAAAAACAAAAGAAATTGTATTTTTCAATTCCCTTAATACAAGTACTGTAGTGCAGTCTCTTTATCATGCAAGTTGAACTTACAAATGTAGAATTATGTACAAAAAATAACTGCACTCAAAAATAAAACAATGTAAGACTTTAGAGTCTACAAGTCCACTCAGTCCTACTTCAGCCAATCGCTCAGACAAAACAACTTTGGTTACAATTTGCAGGAGATGATGCTGCCCACTTGTTTACCATGTCACCTGAAAGTGAGAACAGGCGTTCTCATGGCACTGTTGTAGCTGGTGTCGCAAGATATTTACGTGCCAGATGCACTAAAAATTCATATGTCCCTTCATGCTTCAGTCACCATTCCAGAGAACATGCGTCCATGCTGATGATGGGTTCTGCTCGATAACGATCCAAAGCAGTGCAGACCAATGCATGTTTATTTTCATCATCTGAGTCAGATGCCACCAGCAGAAGGTTGATTTTCTTTTTTGGTGGTTTGGGGTCTGTAAGTTTCCGCTTCGGAGTGTTGCTCTTTTAAGACTTCTGAAAGCATGCGCCACACCTCGTCCCTCTCAGATTTTGGAAGGCGCTTCAGACTCTTAAACCTTGGGTCGAGTGCCGTAGCTATTTTTAGAAATCTCACATTGGTACCTTCTTTGCCTTTTGTCAAATCTGCAGTGAAAGTGTTCTTAAAATGAACATGTGCTGGGTCATCACCTGAGCCTGCTATAACATGAAATATATGGCAGAATGCGGGTAAAACAGAGCAGGAGACACACAATTCTCCCCCAAGGGGTTCAGTCACAAATTTAATTAATTCGTTATTTTTTTTAACAAGCATCATCTGCATGGAAGCATGTCCTCTGGAATGGTGGCTGAAGCATGAAGGGGCATACGAATGTTTAGCATATCTGGCACGTAAATACCTTGCAACGCCAGCTACAAAAGAGCCATTCAAATGCTTATTTTCGCTTCCTGGTTACATTATAAATAAGAAGCGGGCAGCAGTATCTCCCGTAAATGTAAACAAACTTGTTTGTCTTAACGATTGGCTGAACAAGAAGTAGGACCAAGTGGACTTGTAGTCTCTAAAGTTTTACATTGTTTTATTTTTGAGAGCAGCTATGTAACCAAAAAACCCTACATTTGTAAGTTACACTTTCATGATAAAGAGATTGTACTACAGTACACCTCATTGTATGAGGTGAATTGAAAAATACTATTTCTTTTGTTTATCATTTTTTACAGTGCAAATATTTGTAATAAAAATAATAATATAAAGTAAGCACTGTACACTTCGTATTCTCTGTTGTAATAGAAATCAATATATTTGAAAATATAGAAAAACATCCAAAATATTTAATACATTTCAATTGGTATTCTATTGTTTAACAGTGCGATTAATTGCGATTAATTTTTTTGACTTAATCACATGAGTTAACTGCGATTAATCGACAGCCCTAGTATTTAACTTTGAGATCCTTTCAGGTGAAAGATAAAGTTGAGGGGTGAAATCCTGGCCCTACTGGAGTCAGTGGGAGTTTTGCCCTAGTTTGCCCCCTGGAGCAGTCTGTGGGAGGGGGCACAAGCCATAAACATTTGGATCTGGATTCTACAGCTCTGGATCTGGGTTCCACCCTACATTCTCAGAGCCAGGGTTTTGGCTTAGGACACTGGACTTGGCGTCGGTCCGTTGGAAGACATGGACTCTATTCCTAACTCTTGGTCTACCCTGAGAGTGGAACTCACAGCTAGCTGGGGAGATGGAATAGCCCTAACTGAACTTGCAGTGCTGCAAATTGCTACAGACCGGGAGTCACTCTTGTTTCTCCATTCAAAGGGAAAAGGCTTATTTGCCACCAGGAATATCCATAAAGGGGAAACGATCTTCTTGGAGAAGCCTGTGGTGTCATCCCAGTTCCTCTGGAACGTGCTGTACAGATATAAAGGTGAGAGGAGAGTCATTGGTTTTAAGACCAGGAGGGGACCCTTAGTTCACCGACTCTGATGTCCTGCATAACAAAGCGCTGAGAAAGAAGCAGTGACCCTGACGTCGTGCCCCAGAAAATTACACTGGCCCAAGGTCTGAGACTTGCTGTATTCAGTCTGTGGCCTATGCGGAACAAAATGCTGGTGGTCAAAAGACTAGTGACAGTTTAAAGACTGATGTCTTTCAAACCACCAATGCTAGGAATAAATGCTTGATAGCCTGGAAAAGCTGTACAAACCCAGCACGTCAGTGGTATAAACCGCTGATCTCTAAATATGGTGCTCCATGAAATATCTTCTGCAAAAATCATATTGTTATTGAAGTAAAGGGGGCGGGATAGCAAGATGATAATCAAAAGAACATGGTTTTAAGGTTGGATACCTCATGGCCTTCCAGGGGTTAGAAACACTGTGCTGGACAAAGAATGTTTCCAAGTTCTCATCCCAGACCCGTGGCCTGAAGGGAGAAAAATGCCGATCCCAGGGAATATAATGTGATTTGCAAGTTGGATGTAATCAGTGCAAAAGGTGGGAGCCGCACAGAAGCAATAATATCTAGGGATCATTCCTTGAACCCTGTTGCAGTATACCTTGGCTTCACCGGGCACTGTGTCTTTTATACCATCAATCCCTAAACATGGAACAGGGTTAAATAATGATGACAGATCGGGGGATAGAAACTAAAAAAGAGCTTTAGGACAGGGAGAAAAGGTTTCCAGTTGAGATTTGAAGTGGCATGAAGAATCAGTGAGGTAGGGAGATACGTGATGGTTGTTTCGGATGGCAGGAGCTGTGTAGCAGAAGGGTTTCTCATCGCAGATCAGTTTGGGGACTCATGATGCAGGTGAAGTTTGGTGGCAAAGGGAGTTGAAGAATGCGGGAAGTGATGCAGATAATGAGGGCCGTGTTTCTACAGACGGTGTTGGGCCTGTGCTGTTTTCAGAGTGGTGGTTTAGAGTGGGATAGTGAACCAGATTCTCAGCACCTGTAAACCAGTGTTGCACCACTGAAGTTAATGGACCCACCCTGAAACAGCAGCCGAGGATCTGGCCCACTGCATGCAAACGCATCTGTTCTTTTAGAAGGAGGTTCTCTCTATCTCTGTCATCTGGCTCGTTCCTTCTTCCCCAGCCTGTGACCACTGCCTGCGGGCCCTGGAGACGGCAGAGGAGAACGCACAGAGGCTTCTGGGGAAAAGCCGTCGGGTCCTGCCTCACCCAGAGCAGTGCAGCATCCGGAAGGATTTGCATCAGCACTGCCCCCATTGCCAGGTACCGGGTTGCTGAGGAGAGCTGGGAGCTGCCATTGCTGTGGCCTTGTGTTGATCGATTGGGATGGGGCTTGATCTGCAAGGAGGCCACGTCCCTTTCAGATCTGCCATTGTTGCTGCAGCCGCCCTGGTGTTGGGGCGCTCTCATCGGGAAGGTTGAATTGCTTTCCTAGCTACTGATGGAGAGAGCATCTGACAGGGCAGGACCACTTGGGTCGTCTAGGCCAGTTCTTCCCACTCTACAGCCTCGTCGTACACAATGGGGGTGCAGGGGAGAATTTTCATATCCTGGTGCTCACAGGGGCATCTGTGTCCGAGGAGGGGTTCACCCAGGGGGAAGGCACATGCCTTTGCTACCCCCTGCTCTTTCTTGCAATAGATAGGGCCAGGACTCTGTACTAAGGGGAGGTGGGCTGGTGTAGGACTGCTCCCAGGAACCCCCTCCTCCGTACCACAGTGCTCTCCCTAGGTCACTAGGAAAATGGCTGGCCTTTAAGGGTTGCTCACTTTCCTGAGGGCTAAGTTCCTAGGTTACTCTTCCGCTGACTGACGTGTGTCGCTGTCTCTGTTGCTCTCCAGGTTGCGTATTGCAGTGCTGAATGCAGGCAATCTGCCTTCGAGCAATACCACCAGGTGCTGTGCCTGGGCCCCTCCCGAGAGGACCCCAAACATCCCCTCAACAAACTGCAGGAGGCCTGGAGGTAGGAGCACTGGAGGTTTGTAGGACCAGAACTACCTACTGAATAGACTGGCTCTGGCTCGTTCGGGAGCAGAGACGGGGACTCACCCTGTGTCCAGCTGAAGGTAGTTTGGAGCAGGGTCAGTTACTGCTCTGTCTCTGCAGAGGCACCCACGGCTCCATTGGTCCAGCCTATAACCAGCCAGGGCCTCCTACGATATGCAGTTGTCACTGTGCTGCATCCCACCGCCACCCACTCAGAACTTCACGGCATCAGTGAGAACAGAGCGAGGAGCCTCCTGCTCCTGAAGCACAAGCCTCTGTCGCTTGAGCTAAGAGAGAATCTCCTTTAGCCATATAGAGGCTGTGACACCCAGCTGAGCAATTCTGATTCCATCCAGTAGAGGGCAATAGAGTGTGTATACACCAGTCAGTTGATTATAATACTTTGCAGTTCAGTGGCACCATCTGTGGATCCCAAAGAACTTCACAGACATTATTGAATTAAGCCTCCCAACACCTCTGTGTGAGAGAGAGAGAAGGATTATTATCCCCGCTTGCAGATGAGGAAACTGAGGCACAGAGAAGGGATGTGATCAAGGTGGTAACAGAGCCCAGTTCTCCTGACTCCAGCCCTCTGCTGAAACATGAGACAACAACTCACTAGGTGTAACACGTACATTTTTAGTTGGCTCTTCAGTTATTTTTATTATAGTAGCACCCAGAGACCCCTATCAGAGCTGTAATTGCATTGTGCTGGGGGCTGTACATACATAGAGTAACTGTAGTCCCTGCCCCAAAGAATTTACAATCTAAATAGACAACGGGTGGGAAGGGAAGGCGGGGAACTGACTTACCGAAGGTCACATGACAGAGCTGGGACTAGAGCTGGAGTCTCTCGAGTGCTGGAGCCCCTGGGCCTTGCTGCCTTTAGCCGTTTCACTGTCAACAAGCAGAGAAATGCGCGGTAGACCCGACTTGGAAGGTCCCCTGCTAGAGTCCAAAGGCAGGGCAGGAAGTTGCCCCTTTGGCCAGACCTCCATCAGACCTCAGCCCCGGCTGAGCCTTTTAGAACTTGGTTAATTTCCACTTCCCCCGCGGAGCTCCTGGGCTGTTGGTGTCAGTCCGATGTCTGCGTCTGAACGAGGCTGTGTGTGGGATTCCAGTCCTTGTCTCCCTTCGAGCTGCAAACACCCTGCTTGCCCTTTCAGTGCCAGGACATCTCTGCTCCTCTCACTCTCGCTCTGTGATTCCTCCCCCTTGTACAGAAACATCCATTACCCACCGGAGACGTCCAGCATCATGCTGCTGGTGAGGATGGTAGCCACCGTCAAACAGGTGCGTGCCTCTGTTTGCTGCTGGCGGCGCTAGGTGTGTCTCGGCACCTCCTGTACGTTGCTCCCGGTGTCTGCCCTCTCCTCTCCAGGGCTACGCCTGCGCTGCAAAGTGAAGGGATGATTGTAGCACCGGTAGGCATGCCCGCCACTAGCTAGCGGGGTTCACAGCCGTAGCGACAACATGGTGGCACAGGTTATCAACCCGCGGACATGTCCAGAGTCCTGTGCAGGCTTTTACTTGGTTGTTAGCCCATAAGACCGGCCAGACTGGGTCAGACCAAAGGCCCAGCTAGCCCAGTCTCCTGTCTTCCGACAGTGGCCAGTGCCCAGAGGGAATGAACAGAACAGGGAATCATCAAGTGATCCATCCCGTCGCCCATTCCCAGCTTCTGGCAAACAGAGGCTAGGGACACCATCCCTGCCCATTCTGGCAAACAGCCATTGATGGACCTATCCGCCATGAACTTATCTAGTTCTTTTTTGAATCCTGTTACACTCTTGGCCTTCACAACATCCTCTAGTAAGGAGTTCCACAGGTTAACTGTGCGTTGTGTGAAGAAACACTTCCCTTTGTTTGTTTTAAACCCACTGCCTATTCATTTCATTTGGGGGCCCCTGCTGGATCCTGTGCTGACATGTCTTCCCTACATTTTCACTGCTAAGGTTAAAGCTAGCCTGGGTAGGCTACAAGCACACCTTCGCTTTGCAGTGTAGACTTCTGTAAGGTAACCTCCCGGCACGTCAGCATGCGGGGCTGGGGATGTCTCACTGCACTGCACGCACTTACCAGCACTAGCGAGCGTTCGTTGCTGAGACAGCATGCAGCAGAGAAGGACCTCATGACCTTCCGCCCCAGAAGCAGACCCTCCTTCCGCTGTCATTCGCTCGAGAGCATCTAAGCCCTTTGGACACAGATGTGTCAGGCAGGTCGGATTCCACCCGGCAGTGGGACACAGACACGCCAGCCAGGATGTCCCACCACAGCCTGGGTCTCTGTGTCACTGTCCTGACCGTGTGACACTGCTCCAGCTCCTGTCTCAGGGCTTGTGCTGGGCGCTTGTTTGAGCTCGGCGCTGAAGATGCCTCTTGCTGCGGGAAATCAGAGGCTGCTGGCAGCACAGATTCTGTAAGGGCCTTGGATACCATGGTGATAAGGGCGGAATAAATATGCACACCCACCCGTGTGGCATAGCTGTGCCGTGGGAGGTGATCTTTATGGGCTAACATCTGGGTTAGTGTGTCCTGAGAAGGCATCTGTCATCTGCATGTTGAGTGATCTCCTGCTCCTATTCCCTGGGTCTTCCCACTGGCCTGGGAGAGCTCTTTAAAATGAGGGTTGTGGCTGTGTACGAAGCAGCCCCTTGACTATGCGTTTCCTGCTTTTCCTAATGGTGGAGTTTGTGGTTTTGACGTCCCTCATCCCATCATGTTACCGGGAGTCAAAGCTGTTGTCGCACATCTGTGGCTTCCCCTCCACCTTAGCAAAGGGAGACCTGAGTTTGCCTAGAACAAAAACTATCACTGTGGAACTGGGCTGAGCCCATCACATTAATACCCCCTCATGGCATACTCTCCTTGGCTTCTCCTGCCCTCTCTGTCTAGCTCCGCACATGGGCCCCACTGCTGTGTGTCTCACCTGTATATCCCCACCGCTCCCATCTCAAGTAGAGAAGTATTATCCTTATGTCACAGATGGGGAAACTGAGGCACCGAGTGACTTGCCCAAAGTCACAGAGGCTGTCTGTGGCAGAACAGGGAATTGAACCCCGCTCTCCTGAGTTCCCACCCTGTGCGTTAAACACAAAACCAGCCTTCCTCCCCTTTCCTTTCTCTGGCTCACTTGTATTCCACGGGTTAAACATCGCTGTAGCAGTGCTAATGTTCTGGCCTAAATAGCGTCCCGATCTGGGTGTCCTGCCATCTCGCATAGCCCCCTCTCACTTCCCTCCTGCTGGAGTGCCAGTTTGAGCGGCTGTTTGATACGTTTCAGGCAAAGGACAAGGACTGGTGGATAAAGCTTTTCTCTCAGTTCTGCAGTAAAACGGCCAACGAAGAAGAGGAGATCGTCCACAAGCTGCTGGGGGACAAATTTAAGGTCAGTGCGTCACACCACTGGAGTGCTTTGGCCTTTTGGGGGGATCCCTGAGTTCCTCTCCTTTCCCTCTGAAGGCCCCACTTGTGTACAAACCCTTGGTCACAGAGAGAGAGACATCACGGTCCCCAGCAGTGACCAGAACCGGAACGGTCAGTGTCCAAACCACGGGCCTTCTCCACTTGAGCTAAAGGAGTTCTCCTCTCGTGCTCAGTACACGGCAGGCTGTTGGACCAGCCACTAGAGGCAGCCATGGCCATTTAGCCAGTGTATTGCCCTGGCTCCGTGGTAGACAGACCAAGCTGTGGCCTGTCCACTGAGAAAGGAGCAGTTAGTGCCAGTGGTTTCCATGCTGAGGTTGCTTCTCCCATAGGGAGTGGCCAGATACCAATGCTTTGCTCGTGGGCACGCAGCCACAGGTGGTGGTGGCTTTTGATGGCTGCCAGCTTGGGGGCAATTCAGACGAGCAGCTTCTTGACCAGAAGTGGTGGCGCAAAGAGCCTTCAGGCTGCTCCAGACTCTGCTCGCCGGCTGGATTTAAAGCTGCCACACCTGTCCTGGGGCTCCTCTCCTCGCTCACTCTGTGGCCATGTGTCTCCAGGGCCAGCTAGAGCTCCTCCGGCGGCTCTTCACGGATGCCCTTTACGAAGAACATCTCAGCAGGGTGAGTGGTGAGTCCTTGACACCCCCTTCCCCACCCCCGGCAGAGTCCTGTGCACCCCAGAGAGAGTGCTGAGGAGCCCCCGTTTCTCCCTAGTCCCTCTGACACCCCGAAAGTGGGGTGTCCTGGTTGCCGTTCCTCCTGACAGTACTGAGGGGCTGAGGTTTGACCTGGAGCCCATTGGTGCCTCGCCCTTACCCCAGCGGGGCTGAGGTGGGATATGAGGGACAACCTCTTTCTCTAGCACCTGAGCATTTAACCCCCTCAGTGCTCTGAGCTTAGACGGACTCAGGGGATAACAAGAATCATAGAAAGGAAGGGCTGGAAGGGACCTTGAGAGGTCACCTAGTCCAGCCCCCTCACTGAGGCAGGACCACGTGACCCTCTCTAGACCATCCCTGACAGGTGTTTGTCCAACCTGTTCTTCGAAACCTCCAGTGACAGGGATTCCACAACCTCCCTTGGAAGCCTGTTCCAAGTGCTCAACTCCCCTTAGAGTTTGAAAGTTTTTCCTCATAGCCAACCTCAGTCTCCCTTGCCGCAGATTAAGCCCAATACGTCTTGTCCTCCCTTCAGTGGACTCGGAGAGTAATGGATTCCCATCCTCTTTGTAACAGCCGTTACCATATTTGCAGATTGTTGTCAGTCCCCCCCTCAGACTTCTTTTCTCAAGACTAACCATGTCCAGGGTTTTTAACGTTCCCCGTGGGTCAGGTTTTCTAAACCTTTTCTCATTTTTGTTGCTCTCCTCTGGACTCCCTCCAGTTTGTCCACATCTTTCCTAAGTGTGGCGCCCAGGATGGGACCCAGCTGAGGTCTCACCGGTGCTGAGCGGAGTGGGATATTACCTCCTGTATCTTACATTCGACTCTGGAACACGTACAGCTGTTCAGCATTTCCCCTTGCTGCTGCCTTACAGGGGATGTACCCGGGGGAAAGAAATACAATGTAATAGGCTTGTGCCCTCTCCGGCGCTCTATGGCTCTGGAGTGACTGTACTTGGAATCCACCGTTGAGTAGCAGAAAGGAGAGACGAGGCCAACGGGGAGCTGGGAGGGATCCCTAAGAACTGGGTGGGGCCAGAACCATCTGAGAAGATTGTAAATGCCTACTAGGGGGAGGAATTGTTTGGGACAGGACACCACAAGGAGTAATGGGGTGAAGCCGAGGGAGGGAGAACGTAGGCTGAGTCTGAGGGGAGCCCTGCTGACCCTGGATTCTGCTGGAGGATGGAGCCCCTTTGCTTGACGGGTCAGATTTGTCAAAGGTGCTGCTCTGCCACTGAAGACAGTGAATGCGAAGTGCTGATGAAAATCAAGCCACTAAGCTCTGTGCCTCACATTCTCCGTCCAGATCTCTCTCACGGGGCATTTCTAGGGACCGCCGCCTTGTGTCCCGGCTTTGTTATTACAGGACGCTAGACCTGGGTCACAGCAGAGCTGAGGCTCGGTTCGCTGCTGGTCGTAATAGCATGAGGGCCCGTTCTACGGCAGCTCCAGCCCCAGCCCCGCGTCCCATCACGTGATTCTGCAGTGGGTCCGACAAGTGAGGCTGCGAGCTAGAGCAGTGTTTCTCAGCAACTGGACCGGGGCCGATCCCTGAAATCTCCCTGATGCAGTGCAGGAAGGCAGCAGGCTGGTCCCTGGTATCAAACAGGTTGAGAAACACTGAGCTTGAGCAAATGGGAGCCACTGAGATGGTAGCTAGCCCTACAGTCCTGACAGGTAAACTGATCCTCTTGCTTCTTGGCCTCTCTGCAGTGGTTTACTCCAGAAGGGTTCCGATCGCTGTTTGCCCTGGTGGGGACCAATGGCCAAGGCATAGGAACAAGGTAACCAGTGGATTCGCAATTGCGCTCTGGCTGTGCATGGGGAACTGTTGAGAAATCGGCATGGAAGTCATGAGAGTCCCAAAGCTCTCTAGGGCTCTGGGCTCCCCTCAGCGATTGCATGGATCCCCTCTGCCGTCTGAAGGAGTCATCCGTGCACATCCCTCAGCCCAGCTGATGGGAGCTACTTAAGTACCTAGAGTGAGAGCAGAGAAAAAACCTAGTATGTATTGCTGAGGTTCTGTAAAAGCGGCTCTTTACCGCCTTTCTGTCAAGTAGAACAGGACCTCCCCAGTGCCCTCAATCCAGAGCCTCCCAAAGTTCAGGTCTGGTTTTGCTTCAGAACTTTGCCTCTTGGGGCCATTGGACAGTTGAACCCTGGGAGCCCCAAAGAGTCTCTCCTCCCTCCTGAGTGTTCTGTGCTGAAGAACGAAAGCCAGTGCCGTGAGCACCCGTGCCGGCTCCCGAGGTGTGATCACAGCTCTCCCTAGCACTGGGGTACGGGTGGCTCTCTCGCCCACCCGGCCAGATCCAGAGACCTTTGGAAACATAACCATGTTCTGTCTGGTTTCCGCTAGTTCCCTGAGCCAGTGGGTCCATGCCTGCGATGCGTTAGAGCTTCCCGCGCACGAGCGAGAGCAGCTAGACGCCTTCATAGACCAGCTCTATAAGGATATCGAGAAAGGTAACTGCAGCAGGAAGCGTTGGTGAGGTCCCCGGGTGGCTGTCGGTGCGGTTCTCTGGGTCATTGTCTTCTCCAGGCCAGTCAGGGACCAGGGAACGGGCAGGGCTGGGCGTGGGACTCAGCAGCGATCGCAGCTGGCCGATTTTGTGGGCTGCATTGGCCGGTGCTGTCTGAAGGCCCTGGCAGGGTCCATGAGCTGCCGTTAGCGCTCCCGGCTGCAGTGTAGCTGTACCCTGAGAGAACTCTGCTCAGGGACAAGGCCCCTCCTTCCCATTCAACATCGGGGCCAGGACTGGTTTGCTGCCATTTTTCTGGATTCACCAAACCCTCAACAGTCTCAACAGCCAGGGGATCTGGCTCCCAGATACTGGGAAGTGTGGCTGAGGGGAGGCGAGCCGCAGGGAGCAGCTCCTGGGGCTGGTGGAGGGAGATGGGTGTGTCCCCAGGCGATGGCAACCAGTTTTTAAAACCCAGCTCCCCGTCTTGCTGGTTGTGATGGGCGCAGATGCGGACCAGTAGGTGTCTGCTTGATTTGTGGGTGCAGTTAAGTAATTAATTGGATGTTTCCGTGCCTTCAGTTCCTCCCACAGCTATCTGGGGGTCAACTAGGGGGGTCTGGCCCCTTTAAATACCGACCCCCCCCCCCAGCTGTCCAGTCCCCAAGCTCCCTGGGAGGCTGAAGTGGATTGGTGTGACTGGCCCAGGTGAACCGGTACAAAACGGCTCTGCCCTGGTCGAATTTGCCCACCCTGCTGTTTCCCCACGCGCTCACTCTCCTGGAGTGAGGGTTTGGCTGGAGAAGTTGTCCAGTGCTGTAACCCTCCCTTTCTGCTTCAGAGACTGGGGAGTTCTTGAACTGCGAGGGATCCGGCCTCTATGTGCTCCAGAGCTGCTGTAAGTAACGGGCCGATGCTGATTGGCCGGCCTGCCCCCTCCCTCTTTGGCTGAACCATTCTAACGGTCCGAAGGTTTCAAGAGATGCCGGCGTGGTCGGGCGGGTCGCAGCCTGGCCTGCCTTCTCGTTTCCTTGCGTCCATTTGCAAAAGCCACGCGTTATTTATATGATGCTTCTCAAAAACGAACACGCCAGAGCTTTTCAAACAAGCAAATAAATGCCAGCAGCTCAGCACACGTGAGCAACCCTACAATAACAAACCAGGGTCTGCAATCTATCGCCAAGTTAACCTCCAGTGCATTCATATTCCTACCGAGCCCAAAGTGCGCCAGGCATGTTAGAGACAAATACCATGTGACTCAAACCCCAGAGCGCTTTCTGCATGCAATGGGGTAAAAATACCTTGGTGAGGAAACCGTCTCCAGTCTTAGCTGCCTCCTGTTATTAAAGAAAGGGCAATCACTGGTTTATTAACGAGAAGGGAGGGAGCCTAGAGATAACGCAGCCGTCTGGTGCTGCAGGGAGTATCTCAGCCAGGGTGGTGGGGAAGTCTGTACAGCAGGCAGGCTTACGGAGAAGGGAGCAGGATCTACAATAGGAATATTTTCCTCCGTTGCTTCTCACCCCATTAAACGACCAGTGGGGAGACTAGTTGGTTCAGAGAAAGGCGAACAGCATCCCAAGCCTTTCACCTCCAGCTCACCGCGTTGAGCCCCGGGCAGAACTGATCAAAGCCCTCCCCGTCTGCTGGCTGTTCCGCGGTGCAGTGCAGTGAATGGGGTCTCCTGCCTCTGTGTGTCACTCACTGGCTCTGGTGCCCGTCTCTTCCCTGCTGCAGGTAACCACAGCTGCATCCCCAACGCTGAGACGTCCTTCCCGGATAACAACTTCCTCCTGCACCTCATCGCCCTGGAGGAGATCAAGCCGGGAGAGGTGAGCCTGCAGGGAAGGGAATGGCTGGTTTGTTTGGGGAGGGCCAAAGCCTGTAGCCCTCTCTCAGGCCAAACTCCTCCCGAAGGCAGTGGCTGTCCAGCCTGTGTAAGACCAGTAGGGTTCTGTCTATGTGCTTACATGATCCCCCCATTACCATAGTATCCAAGCACCTCCCAACCCCCATAGGAGGTAACATCCCTATTGTATGGATGGGGAAACTGAGGCACGGAGAGATGCCGTGACTGGCCCAGGGTCAGACAGGGAGTCTGTGGCAGAGCTGTGGGTTGAACCCTGGTCTCCTGAGTCCCAGTTCAGGGTCTTTGCTAAAAGACCATTAACCCTCTGTGGCCCTTTGCTGAGGAAAGGACAAGGGTCATCATGAGCTGCGGTTCAGCCCAGCTGGGTTTTCGAGCCGTTCTGGACCCTGATTATTTTGTGAGCAATCGGGGAGTCCCAGGCGATCTCTGCTGTCCGGATTAGAGATGGGCCCGACCGCCGAGCCCCTGAACGTCGGGGCAGTTCAGATCTGACCTTCGCCCCCCCGGCCTGCAGTGTCGCTCAAGTGGAGGAAGGCATGGGACCGGGCTGTCAGGACAACAAAGGAGATTCCTCACTGGGGCTGCAGGACACACATGGACCCTCTGTTTCTCTCTGGCTCTCCACGTCCCCTGTGCTGCCTGGTGTCACCATGCAGCAGCCCCTTGAGTCCTGGCCGGGCCTCCCAGCCATGGAAAGGTCCGCTGATTGCTCTGCTGGGTCAGTCTCTCCATAGGGCTGGATTCTGATTTCTACCTGCCCTGGAAGTTAGCCCTGCTGGATGCTGTATTCTGCTTTAGCCCTGCCAGTTCCCTCTGCTCTCTGGCAGTGCCTTGTCCCCAGTGACTTGCTGCACTTTCCCCTCTGTTCCTGGAAAGCATCCCTCCCCCCGGGGCGGGGGAGCCCGGCAGTGGTTCAGTGCAATGGGAACTGACTCTCAGCCGGGCCTGTTTCTCTTGTCTCGGCAGGAAATCTGCATTAGCTATTTAGACTGCTGCCAGCGGGAGCGGAGTAGACACAGCCGCCACAAGATACTCAGGTAGGAGTAGTCACCCGCGCCGGTCGGACTCTGCTGGCCAGGGGGCCCTGGGGACAGATCGGGGTAGAAGCAGCGGTGGGAGGAAGGGTTGCCAAGGCATGGGTGGAGCAAAGTGGTTCTGCAGAATATTGTCAATTTATTTTCAGGGATCAGGGGACACCCCCCCCTCCCCCGCATCTTTACTCTGTTCTTGGATGTAATGGCATCGTCTGGCCTCAGTCTGCTGCACCCGTCCCTCTGGCTGAGCAGGGCAGGTCCCAGTGCACACTCGCCCACTCACACTCTCACACACACCACACCCCGCCCCCCCCCCCGGGCCTCCCTTCCCTGGCCCTCCCTCAGGCTGAGCAGGGCGGGGCCCGGTGCGTGCTCTAATACTGCCAGCCACAGAGGGATACTTGAGATCAACCCGAGTTGCTCCATTCAGCCTCTGCCCCAAGAGCTGAGCCTGCTGCTTCTGCCCTCATCGCCCTGTGGCCTGCATCTGCACCTTTGTACGGTGCCTTCTGGTCTTTGTTCGGCTGGCTTTGCAGCGTTCGTGTACATGCAGCCTGCTTGGACGGGCCACTGTGTCCTCCGCGGTCCGAAGGGTGTTGGGCCGAACGTACAGCCTGTGTGCACTCTCGGCACGCTCGCCCTTCGGGATGGACAGATGTGGTCGGCACACCAGCATGCACGATACGCAGGCAGGAGGATCACACAGCAGGCATGCATGTAAGTGATGTGTGCATCACGTGCATGCATGCTGCATGCGGCACCTGGGATTCGTCTGCACTGTGAGCTGGTGACGCCTTCTCCCCAGCTCCTGGCAAAGTCCTGAGCCCCGGGGCTTTATTGCCGTCTGTGTTTTGCAGGGAGCGTGTAGCTCCTAACCTGTCAAGCAGCATGAACCCTGGGAGTGGACACAGCAACACCTGCAGGGTCCATCTACACAGCAGTGAGCGTGTGTGTGGCCTGGGCGGGCATGCCCAGGCGAGCTTTAACCTAGGCAACGATAGCAGCGTTGACGTGGGGGCACAGATTTCAGCGTGGGCGAGTAACCCGAGTTTGTACGCAGGGACCCTGGTGGGCTCATGCTGGGGCAGCTACCCTGCGCTGAGGCCCGTGTCACTGCATCTCCGCTGCTCCTGTCACCTGTGCAAGCTGGATCAAAGCGAGCCTGGTATACCTGCCTGCACTGCAGGCACACCTCCACCTGCGGTGGGGACCGACCCAAGGATGCATCTCGCCCAAGCTTGTCTTATTCCTGAGCTATCAGAATGCTAGGATAGGAAAGGGATGGATAATAAACCAGGAAATGCCATAATGCCACTATATAACTCCCTTCTACGGCCACGCCTTCAGAGCTGCGGGCAGATCTGGTCGCCCCATCTCCAAAAAGGTGTATTAGAATTTGAAAAGGTTCAGAGAAGGGCAACAAAAATGATGAGGGGGATGGAACAGCTTCCATGTGAGGAGAGATTCAAAAGACTGGGACTTTTCAGCTTGGGAAAGAGACGACCAAGGGGGGATATGACAGTGGTCTATAAAATCCTGAGTGGCGCGGCGAAAGTGACCAGGGAAGTGTTATTTACTCCTCACAACACAAGAACCAGGGTCACCCAGTGACATTAACAGGTTTAATACTAGCCAGAGGAAGTATTTCTTCTCACAACACACAGTCAACCTGGGGAACGTGTTGCCAGGGGATGCTGTGAAGGCTTCTAAAAAAGAATTAGAGAAGTTCCTGGAGGGTGGGTCCAGCAATGGCTCCTAGCCAAGATGGCCAGGGATTCAACCCCATGCTCTGAGTGTCCCTAGCCTCTGACTGCCAGAAGCTGGGACTGGGCGATGGGATGGATCACTTGATGATTCCCTGTTCTGTTCATTCCCTCTGGGGCACCTGGCCTTGGCCGCTGTCGGAAGACAGGAGACTGGGCTAGCTGGACCCTTGCTCTGACCCCGTCTGGCCGTTCTTATGTAGCTATAGTGTGTGCTCAGGTTAGAACGACAGAGACCAGTGGCTTCTTGTCCAGCATAACTCACGGCTCAGGCTACTACCCTGCCCTCCCTGGGGAGCTCTCCCTGCCCAGAGGGAGGGATAAGTGGGGAGTTAACCCCCGAAAGGCTGGCTCTACGGAAGGGTTCTGCGCTCCAGCCTGCAAAGTCCCTTGACGTGGTTCTCTCTCTCCTGCTCCCCTCAGGGAACACTACCTGTTCACCTGCTCATGCCCCAAGTGCCTGGCTCAAGCCGATGACGCCAGCCTGACTTCAGAGGAGGAGGAGGAGCTGGAGGGCGAAGGAGAGACGGATGACGCGGAGCTGGAGGATGAGATGACGGATGTTTGATCCTGGGCCCAGGGATGGGGTTCGGCTTTGTACCGGAGACGGGACCGTGGGGAGGGACTGTGCCTGTGTCGGCCAGGGCTGGTGCTGCGGCAGGGAGAGAGCATGTTAAGGTTTGGCTAGGTTGGGCAGTGGAGGAAGCGGGGATCTTCCCTGCTCCTGACCATCCTTCTGAGGGAGTGTGTCTGTAGTCCCCTCTCTCTAGGTAATGGCTCCGCTTGTCCCAACCACTCCTCCATGGCTGAGGGAGATATCAGCCCACCCAGACATCGCCTTGGTCTCCTTGTTTGTGTCTGACCCTGCACACAGAGCAATACGCCAGGGCGGGGGAGATGGCGCAGGCAGGGAAAGTCCCCTCCCCTTCTGAGCACAGCGCACAAGCCTTAGCACAAGTCTTGTTCCTGACGCTGGGCGAACAACCAGCTACTCCGGGACTTCCTCCGGTGTCAATATCTAAGTGATCTGAGAACTTGGAGAGCAGAGTCCGGGGGGATTTGGGCACATGACTTTCTCGGGGCTGTGGAGGGGGGAGAACAGAGGTTTAACCCTGTGGAGACAGTGGCTGTGCCGAGAGGTTGTAGTCTCATGGACTCAGCACAAGACTGGGAGCCAGGACTCCTGGGTTCTAGTCCTTGCTCTGTTGCTGACTTGCGGTGTGAGCAAGTCACTTACACTCGCTGGCTCTCAGATTAAAATGGGGGGGATGATCAGACATTCCTAGCTGGGGGGGGCGGGGGAGTTGGGAGGATTAGCTGCTCCATGTCTGGACAAGGCTGAGTATTTTGAGTTGTAGATATATGTACTCTTAGTGCCAGCAGGTGAAGGGTTAAGTAGCTCTGGGGGTGGATACAGTCAGCTGGTGGAGCCTCACACTCCTTACCTTGGTCTCCTGCTCCTGCTGCCCTCGCGGGTTGGCCTAGTACTTTTGTTGTGGGGCTTTCACCATGGGGAGGTCTGTCTGCCCCACCAGGGCATCAGGCTCAGTGGTGCTGGCCTGTGAGGGGCTCCTGAACGGACACCAAAGGGAAATCCTGACCCAGCTTGCCGCAGGGGGCTCGACACCGGGGGCCAGTTATAACGGTCCATAGGCATTCCTCTGCTCAGCACTGTAGCGCCAAAACTCGTTGTCACAAGGGAGTTAGGCGCTTAGGAGCCTATTGACTGTCAGTGCGGTTTTGGCTCTTAGGTGCCTAAATCCCTTTTAACAAGGAGACATAGGCTCCTGAATCAGCTAGGCATTGGAATGCTGAGCCCAGCAATGGCTAAATACCTCTAAAAACCTGGGCCCCGGTTCTTCTGCAAAGGACCAGGAAGGGGGGGCTGGTCCCACCCCAGGTGGATTTGCCAAGCCCAGCCCTGGAGCGCGAAGGGAGAAACAGTCGACTCTATTGTGTCTGGGGGGTGGTTGGAGGGATCCATCCTCAGCCTTCCCTTGTGTGTATTATCCCACTGACCTCCAAGGGGTGCAAAGGCTGCAGGGCTGGGTCCTGGGGTATCACGTGACCTTCAGCCAGGCTCTGGAGGCTGAATCTGCAAGGAGCTGGCAGCTCCTTCTAGACCCACTAGTGTAAGCTCCCCAAGGGACCGCCTGGGTCTGAGCGGTGCCCAGCGCCCACAGCTCCTCTCCAGGCCAGTGGGTTTTGCGAGTGCTCAGCCCCTCTCAGATCAAACCCTATCAGAGCAGCGTGGAGCTCTCGGGGGGGATGGCAAAGGATCCAGATGAGAGTTCAGGCCGCCTAGTACCAGAGCCGGAGATGGGAAGATGCCAGTCGATGCGGGAGTCCGTTCCCCTGTGAGGGCAGGACCTGCCCTGCAATAGAGACTGAGCCGCTTAGAAATATCTCTGCCTTCTACGAGGCAGGCAGCTTTGAAATACGACTGTTGAACCTATCTTAGCCTTGTGACAGCACATTCTGCGGGCCTGGAGCTGGGAGACTGACCTAGAAACTTGGTGCCTGCAGATCACAGGCCAAATCCTACACTGGTGTAAATCTGGAATAGCTTCACTGATTTCCTCGGAGTTACTCCAAATTCACACTGGTGTCGCTGAGATCAGAATTTGTTTTCACCTTCTTAAGCCCTTGCTGCACAAGAAGTTGTACTTTGATTTTTGATCTTGCTTGAAACAATACAGCAATATGTTTATTTGACGTGGTGCTAATGCCCGTGATGATAGAACTGCAGTGAATGAAGGGAGTACGCTGGTATGGAGTAGACCGACTGTTAAACCATGGCCTACAATGGCTCCGGAACATTGCTTGAGCAAAGCAGTCTTCCAAAAACCCACATGGTGCAAGGATCTCAAACAAGGTCCCACCTGTAGAAGAAAAATGTTACATTTGAGAGCAAGGAACTGTGGTTGAACAAAGACCTGCTAACCAAAGTGATCAGGCTAGATGTGAATTACAGTGACAACACTATCCAGATGAAAATGATATTGCAGGAAAGCCCTATCTGTGACGAATGAGGTGTTTAAAAAAACCAAAACGTAAAACGGGAGATTTAACAACCCCCCCCCCCACCCCCAAGCCTTGTCTCCATTTACGCGGCTTCCTTTTTGCAGGCCAGCTTGAGCGGTGTCACTATATTGGTCAGTTTCACTTCTTGGTTCTCATGCCCGGGCACAATTCCCTTGTGTGTGGATTTCCTGTGCAATGCTTCAGCTCTAAATAATCCCTCCTCTTTCGAATGTATACACCCTGCCTGCCGGTGTCCTGAAGAACCAGAGCACTGCGGCTAGCCCTGCCTTGGATATTTTGTTGGCCAACCTTGAGTTTTAAAGTTGCCAACATCCATCTCCCTCCGACGGTAGCTTTCCGCCTAAGGCTTTAAGTTAACGCGTTTCAGTTCAGAGAGAGTTGGGAAGCAGGCCCACCTCCTCTTACTGTTGTGCTTGTAACCAACAGCCCGACGTTCCTTTTGGGACGGGGCGAGTGGCAGTCTTGTTTCAGGAGAGGTAGGCAAAGCCATTTGATCGGTATATTCTCACGTAAGCAGAGATCGGTGCGTGCTACAAACTGTGGATCCAGATTCCCAAACAGCCTGAATACCGAGCCTGGGGTTGGGTTGGGTCCACTTGCAAAACGGGGAGTATTTGGCGCGGGAGGTTTTGGTGCTTCGCTGGATGAGCCCCAGCAAACCGCCGTAGCGTGGGGTGCAAAGCGGCTCTGTTTAACAGTAGTTGCCTTTTGATGGAAGCTGCCACTAATCTTTTTGAAACAGAAAAGCGGGTGGGCCAGGCTGGGCTGCCCTTGCTGAGGTCATCTGCAATCTGCGCCCAGCTCCGCAGCTCAGCCACCTGGCTTTTATTTTCTCCATTGTTCGATTCACGGCAAAGCAGAATTCTAGTGCCATTCCGGTCTCCTACACCTCACCCTACCTTGTCACATCCACGCTCTGCATAGCTTCCCTGCGGTCACAAACGGCCTTGGGTAAATGAGCCTCATCAGCCCCCCTCCTCGCAGGTTCCTGGTTCAGGGCTTGGGACGTCCTCCCCCGTGGACTGTAGCCAGACATGTCTCCAGAGTAGGGTTGCCAACCGTCTAATCACACAAACCCACAGCCTTGCCCTGCCCCTGCCCTGAGGCCCGGCCCCGCTCACTCCATCCCCCCTCCCTCCGTTGCTCACTCTCCCTCACTCTCATTCACCGGGCTGAGGCAGGGGGTTGGGATGAAGGAGGGGGTGAGGGCTCCGGCAGGGGTGTGTGTGGACTCTGGGGTGGGGCCAGAAATGAGGGGTTCAAGGTGTGGGAGGGGGCTCTGTGCTGGGGCAGGAGGTTGGGCTGTGGGAATGGGTGAGGGGTGCAGGCTTTGGGAGGGAATTTGGATGCAGAAGGGGGCTCCAGGCAGGGGGTTGAGGTGCAGGAGGGGTGCGGGCTCTGGGAGGGAGTTTGGATGCAGGAGGAGGCTCAGGGCTGAGGCAGGGAGTTTGGGTACAGGAGGGGGCTCAGGATTGGGGAAGGGGGTTGGGGTACAGGATGCAAGCTCTGGGGGGGAGTTTGGATAAAGGAGGGGGCTCAGGGCTGAGGCAGGGGGTTGGAGTGCAGGAGGGGGTGTGGGCTCTGGGAGGGAGTTTGGGTACAGGAGGGGGCTCACGGCTGGGGCAGGGGTGCAGGCTCTGGGAGGGAGTTTGGATGCAGGAGGGGGCTCAGGGCTGGGGCAGGGGTTTGGGGTGCAGGAGGGAGTGAGGGCTCCGGCTGCTTCCAGTTAGCAGCACAGTAGAGCTAAGGCAGGCTCCTTGCCTGCCCCGGCCCTGCGCTGCGGCTGGTACGTCCCTGTGGCGGGCAGGAGGTGCTGCATTGCCCCCGCCTGCAGGCACCACCCCCACAGTTCCCATTGGCTGCCATTCCCAGTCAATGGGAGCTTTGGGGGTGGGGGCGGTGCATGGAGACTCCCTGCCCCTCCCGCCCCCCAGGACCGCAGGGACGTGCTGGCCGCTTCCAGGAGTGGCGCGGGGCCAGGGCAGGCAAGGAGCCTGCCTTGGACCCTGCTGTGCTGCCGGACTTTTAGTGGCCTGAAATCTCCCAGTTTGGTTTTAGTAGCCTCCAGGAGATAGAGCCCGATTCCAGGAGACCCCCAGCGAAACTGGGACAGTTGGCAACCCTACCCCATAGAGAGGGGCTACTGCACACCCCACCTTCTATAATCACTGTGTTCACACCGATGCAGGTGTGGTGAGACTGAAGTCAGTAGAGCTTTTCAATCAGTTGGTATGGTGTCTGTCTGTACATAATGCATGATAAGAGAGAGCTGGTATCCACCTGAATGAAAATAAATCAAACCACGATAACCACCGCTGATTTGGACTCTGCAAGCTTCCCACAGCATTTGAACTTTGTGGAACTGTTTCTTCTGTCCGTTTCAGTCTGTCCTTTTGGTGGTAAGATCTAGGGGAACTTGCGAAGCCGAGATGGGCACATCCTCCCTCTCCAACGATATCAGCCCATAAAGCGCTGCACCTGGTCCTTGTCACCCGTCCCACTGCCATCCCTGTGGCGTCGTGCCCTTCGGTGACCTCAATAAAATGATAGTGGTAAGACTGGGGCTGGGCCTGTTTCTTTGAATTAAACATAGATGGTGATCACTTGTTCTCCACGTTTGCGAGTGGTTTGGTAAATACGGTCAGAGGCTTTAAAAACTCTTAAATTTCATAGTTTTAGATTTTAAAATCTGAAATGTCACAGTGTCGGAACCGTGGGGGTCCTGATCCAAAAGGGAAGGGTCGCAAGGCTATTATAGGGGAGCCGTGGTATTGCCATCCTTAGTTCTGCGCTGGTGCGAATGGCAGTGCTGCCTTCAGAGCTGGCCACCCAGCCAGCAGCTGCCCAGCTCTAAAGGCAACCTAGGAGTAAGGGTGGCAATACAGCGACCCCCCCTACCATAGCCAGATTTCACGGGGGAGACCAGATTTCACGGTCTGTGATGCGTTTTTCACGGCATGAATTTGTTAGGGCCCTCGTGATGCTAGGGCAGGAAGTAATCAGCTTTATCTGCAGCAGGGGTGATTTAGGTAAGAACAGGTTAGAGAGACACCTGTCAGGGATGGTCTAGTTTAAAGCAAGCCCAGGCTAGTAGTGACTGGAAGTTGCCATCTGATGGTTGGTGGGCTTTGTGAAAGCAATTGATTATCTTATTCCAGTTCCAAGTGGCCAGCTGACCACATCAGGGTTCTTACCCGCAGCTGTGGAACAGACACGTCCTCCCCTTATCCCAGAGTCGGCCCTTCCAGGAGAGGGGTGGGGCTGAGTGCTGGGTGAAGGACACACTACTGCCGCTGTGACCCAGCCCTGCCTGGCCTTCGTTCCTGCCAGTCCAGCCCTGACATTACACCCTGTTGGTGGAAAATTGCACACAACTCTGTGACTCTCGTGGTGAAGGGTGTGCGAAAGCAAATCAATGTGCTAACAGCAAAGAGACAGTAAACTTAGACATACCCGTGGCTCGTTCACCTTCTCTGTCAGCACCTAAAGCCTCAACGCTGGGGCGAGCAGGGCAGGGAGGACGGTTGTTCTCCTTACCTTTTGGTCCTCTGGGCTCGGAGCAAAGCCGCCCCTGGAACAGGCACTGACCCTACAAATGCAGCACTCCCCATAAGAAATACATCTCAGCAGCAGCCATTCCTTCCCCAGCCCTGTCGAGCAAATCTGGAACGACCTAAGCACGGAGCCTTGCGTTGTCACAGCTCCAAACGTGCCTCAATTGATGTTATTTTGCCCAGTTATAAATCTCTATACACCCACTCATGGGAGGTCAAGAAATCAGACGGCTGAGAGCTTCAGGCTTTATTAGAGAGATTAAAGAAGAGGTTCATGTTACAAATGAATATAGCCCCGACAGCATGAAGGCAAACGCCAGCTGGCAGCTGTGGTGTCAGACAGGTCCTGGGAGCTGGAGGGGGCATGATCTAGTGGGATCTGCCTGCCCAGCGCCGGCAGCAGCATGGAAGGAACAAGTTAGCAGGGAGTGGGGCTGCAGTTCACACGCTCCCTGCCTGGGTGACAGCGATGGAGGAACTGAAAGCTGCAGCCAAGCTGAACCAGGCCAAGACCCACGCAGCCCTAGTGCCATTCAGCCACCTTCAGCTAACAGGAGTGCAGGGCAAGCAGCACTGGGCCTGAGTGTGTCCTGGGTCAGTGGAACCTGCTGTCTGATGGGGACTTTCCCAGTGCATCAACCCTGGAACATGCCAGTGATCTGGGCTCCCTCTGCTGCAACAGCCTCTGGGCTACAGGATCTTGCAGAAGGCTGGGCTTCAAATCATGTGGCCACAAATGAATCCTGACTGCAGCATTCAAGAGACGATGACAAGGCTCCGATCCATGGGAGTGTCACATGTACACTGGGTTCCAGGGCCGGGGGGGGAGAGTTAAGGCTGCCCCATCTCCCTCCTCCATTCCCAAGGGCCTCCACCATCCTCCCCGTTGCTAATTATAACTCCTTCCTTCTCCTCATCCCCAGCAGCCCACATCCTCCCCAACCCACTCCAAACAGCCTCCATGCACTGAGCTCTCTGCTCATTCCTCTTTGCTCCCTTCCCCCCTTGCTGGCCTCATGTCTGAGGCAGAGCTAGCTGGGGGAAGGCATAGGGGGTCCAGCCAGGGGCAAAGCCAAACTGGTCTAGATTGGTCCTACACCCAGCACTGCCCCCGCATCAGCCAGGCAGCCTTGGGGCTCCCTGACCCCGCGCCCTCTAGCGTACGGCCCCAAGCCCCTAGAACCTGGCCAAGCCTTAACTCAGAACAGCCGCGTGTTAAAGCTTCCCAAGGGTCAGAAGCAGAGCTGGGCCTGAGCTGAGACCCTGGCTCGGAACAACCTCAGCATTAGGGGCGTAAAAGGGGTCAAGATCTGAACCCAGCTGGGAACTTTACGACCCTCCTGCCCTGGCCAGCCCCACCCTGCTCTGGCCCGCCACAAAACATTCCAAATCCAGGGCTAGCTTCGCCCACCTCGCATTAAACCGCTGCGCTCCTGCCTCCACTGGGAATCATGGTCCAAGGGCCAGATCCAAAGACTTGGGACCTGACTGAAGTGAAGGGAACAGGATCAGGCCCTTGAACAGTAGAAGGTATTAGAGGCTCCCGTCACCTTGCAGTTGCCAGGGAACGTGTCAGGCTCGTGCACTGGTGAAGCCAGTGGGGTTGTGCTGGCTTAGGCTAGAGGTGAATCTGGCCCATGCAGTTGATTTGGACCTTTACGTTCCTGTATCCGCTTGTGGTTATGGGCTGTCTCCAGCCCAGCCTCAGGCTCCAGCAGCCTCGTTCCCTTTGGCGTGACGGAGTCCGAGCCCAGATCCTCCCAGAGATTTAGGTGCCTAACTCCCATTGATTTCAATGGGAGGGATCTCTCTCTTCTGAGCCCCATCTCTGAAAGACAAACCCACACAGAGCCACTTCCTCTCTCCTCCAGGCACCCTCGTCTTGCCTGAGTTTACACTTCTGGCTCCACTCAGCAACAAAATATAAACCTCTGGCCAACCTGGTGGGTCCTGTTAGCCCAGGATGATCCCCTGTGCATTGCTCTTTCCCCTCTTTACGCTTTATCCACACGTTACCATTTTGCTTGAGATTGGCCGTGCACACCTGACATTGTTTGCAATGCAATGCTATCTGACAGCTCCTCAAAATGCTTCTCTAGCACGCTCTGGCCTCTCGGACTCTGGGGCGTCTGCCTCCCTGCCCGGAAATAGTTACTAAGGAAGTCATCCGGCAGTGACGGTGAATGATATGATGATGTCGGAGTTTAGCTGGCTACCAGCTGCAACACAATAATTCCAGTGGGAATCACCCAGTGAGTTTGGATTGTGGAGTTTTGGGGCAGGCAGGGGCTGTTCTTCAAGGCCAATCCCTTCAACAAATCCATCCAGAAGGCTCCAAGACCTTCCCTTTCTCTCCCCACTACCAGAAGGTCCATGGAGGCTGCATCGTTTCATAGGCTGGGATGCTGGTAACGTTGACGGGGATGGAGATGATGGCCCAAGGGAGTCCGTGCTGTTCCAAGGAGCGTCGGATCATGTACCTAGACACACACACACACGCATCTTGATGGAGTGAATCAGGAAAGAGGTGCTTAGTCCTTAGACGCGCTCTGGAGCCAACCCAAGAGTGCAAGGTCAAGACCAACTCAACCCCACAGAACAAATACAACTGACTCCACTAAGGGTCTCACTGACAGGGCCTGATTCTGGGAGGTGCTGAGCATCCTTAGCTCCCACTGATCTCGGAGGGAAGTGAAGTCACTTAGCCCTTCCCATGGGATACTCAGCACCTTGTAGAGTCTGGCCTTCAACAGGGGAAGCCGGAACTTTCTGACGGACGGCTGCCCTGGCAACTTGCCAGGAGAGTGAGCGCTGCACATAAGCTGCCTAAACAATTTCCATGCTTAAGAATCAAGCCAGGCAGCCAAGTGTGATTGCAGATGCCTCTTGTTTGCTGGATGAACAGGGATGGCTGAGTGGAGGGCCACGGTGGCTCATCAGCACTGGGCCAGCCCTGCAGAGTCACAGGCTATGGCCTGCAGTTTATGATCTCTGCTGTAAGTGCTAGCTTTATCATTTATTCTACGTTAACATGCTGCCGATAAAGAGAGCACTTCCCTCTCCATGGCTGGCCAGAGCCCATGTACATTAAAGATCGGGAGAACATCTGAGGTGCCGGAAACAAAGGTGCCAGTGCGATCCTTCATTTCATCCACACAACCAGACTGACTTCAATGGGGCTGCATGGGTACAACGGGGCGGCACAATCTGTGAAGATACAGGTGTGTGCGCATGTTGGGGAAAGGCACCTACCCATCCCTGCCCAGGAGGAAGAGAGCAGGAATGTCCGCCGTCAGCCTTGTGCTGTCCTGGATCATTTCGACGTAGAAGCTGTCGTTGTCGTACGCGTTATCGGCAATAATCACTGCCCTCCCGCCGTGCTCCTGGACGACGCGCGTCTTCGACAAGAAGGAACAACCCCTGCGGCAGAACATAACACTGTGTCTCAGAGACCCGCTCGGCCAGCTGTCTGCACAGCGCAATGCCTATGTCTCCCTCTTCAAAGACATCACCCCTTCCCAGCTGACGCGCTTCATGTGCTTCATACAATCGCCACCCGCAGAAGTGAAGGATGAAAAGGGCCACACTTATGTCTGAGTGGGGGAATAGGAAGCGAATGGCCCATTTTAACCATAGGATTTTTATTGTTCATAATAATAATAGGCACTTCTCTATCTTTGCTTCACCAACATTATCCCGACACCCTGGAAACATCAGTGAGGGAGCAGGTGAGAAAACTGAGGCAGAGCAGTGCAGTGATTTGCCCCAGGATGCAGAAGGAATCTGTGTCAGAGCTGGGTTTAGGATTCTGCAGCACCTGGCTCCCAGGCCTGTGCTCAGACCGGGCCTCATTAATATTACTGTCTGAGCAAATGTAATAATTAACCATTGGAACAACTTACCAAGGGTCACGGTGGATTCACCGTCACTGGCTGGTTTTAAATCGAATTCGTCTAAAAGCTCTGCCCTAGGAATTCGTGTGGGGCAGGTCTCTGGCCTGTGTTACGCAGAGGGACAGACTACAGTCCCTTCTGCACTTGGGATCTATGAAAGCATCTCCCCTAATTCTCTTCTTTTACTTTCTCGGTCTTCAGTGCACCTCAGCTACACTCTCCAGTGCTTGTAGGGTAACACTCCACCGCAAGAGCAAGTGAGCGACTCTGCTGGCTTGTATTGGCCCCCTTCACTCAGCACCAGCTGTGATCGCCGGCCTGTCTGGGACGTTGTCGTAACACTGACACTTGCCCGGCAATCCTCCACTGGCACAGCCCTGCTGGCTTCTGCTTGGGAGCGCAGACTCCTTTGCTAACAGTGCCTGGGAGATAGCTGCTTGCTGACCGGCCGGCAGGGAGCAGGTGGTCTCACTCCCACGGAGCAGGTGCTCTTGTCGCAAAAACCGCTGATCCAGCATAATCAGTGCCCTTGCACAGTCCACCTACACACAATCGGAGGTGTGACTGCAGCACGCGTGGGCATGCCGAGCTGGCTTCGAGTGAGCTAACCAGCTAGAAACAGCAGACATGCCGCAGCAGCTGCTGCTAGCTGCCTGGCTGCAGTGTGGACAGACCCCCAAAGTCTCAGCAGCAAGGCCAAGACCGAATGGGTCCTTCCCTTCTCTGCTTGGGAATGCATCCCTGCAACTCGGAACTGGGGCGGTGGTGGGCAGGGTAGAGCTGGCTGGCCCTGGCAGTACCCACACTGTACCTGTTCTGTGGTTATTAGCCAGGAGGCTTCAGCCTCCTCTAACCAAGCCCCAATCGCCAGGGGAAAGCTGGATGCTTTAGAAAAATGGTCTCAGTGAGTAGGGCCTCTCCAGGCTCCTGGCTGCTAGACCACATAGCTGCTCTCAGAATGCCGGAGCTAAGATTCTGCATGAGCAGAGAGGCCGCTGTGGGGCTGAATTCCCCCAGTGTGATGCCTTGCAGCACTGGGCCCACCACGAGGAGGCAGGACCTTGGCAGCAGGGCCCGGGAGGAGTGGAGTTGGGGGGCAGCATTGTTCCCTGCTCAGTTTCCTCGAGGAAATCCAGGAGGACATTAACAATTCCTGAAGCTACATTAGTCCCCTCAGCGTCTGCTATTGAGTAAGCGACAGCAGTCCCATGCCAGACGTCTCCAGCTCCGATTGAGCTGGGAGGTTTCTTTTTCAGCAGACCCACCCCCTCGTCTGTGGGGCTGGGAGGCTCACCTGGGCCCCTTCCACAGCCCCCTAAATGTCTCATGAGAAGGGGTGATGCCCCAAACACTGCCCAAGATGAACCTCAGAGCTGTCAGAGGATTCCCTGGGGAAGGGGTACATGACTGGCCTGTTTCCTTTATATTAAACAGCAGTAGCTGCCTTCCTTCCGGGACCTCTCTGTACAGACGTATGGCAGAGGGGAAAGCTGACGATGGAGTCAGTTTTGTCAGACTAGAAAGTAACAGGGGACGGGAGACTAATCACGTTTCAGGTTTTGTCTACAAGGAAAAAACGACCAGCGTACACAGCTCCCCAGGTGGACTCACCATCCCAGGAGAAGACTGTCCCCACGAGGAGCTTTACTGGCATAGCTACGTAGCAATAATGCCAGCAGTACAGTAATACCTCAGTAATATTCTCCAGGCAGAGGAGCCTCTGCTGTCAGAGGACTATGATAAAAATGAACAGGAGCCAAAATCTCCACGGGACCGTTCCCCAGGCAGATGCTCTGCGACGTGCCAGATTTCATTCGCCCGATCTCGTTGGTGGAAAAAAACCAACCCGCCCACGCCCTGCACGCCACTGTTCTAGAATCACACTATAAATAGCTCCCCCCCTCCATCGGTAAAACAGATCTGTCATCAAACCTACCCACGCTCCACCAGGGCGATCTGATCTTGGATGAAGACTCCATTGTTTAGCTCCCCGCATGCCTCCGGAGGGTCTGCCGGGACCAGGTGTATCTGCTCATATCTTGTGTTCTTGGAGAGGAAAGGAAAGAAGCAGACTGGGAGTAAGGGCAGGGGGCAACACTTGGGGCAGGGGGAGCGGCTAGGTTTGCTAACTTAGATCTATTCTGGGGTCTGCAGCAACAGGCTCTCTTTGTTCTGGTTAAGGCCAGCTTCACACAACAGTTCTCACCCTCGTGCCCCTAACTAAACCGAAGAAAACTACAAAGACAGTCAGATCTAGCCTTGTTATTGCTAGACTCCTATATACTTTGCAGGTCTATAGCACCTAAGGGTCTAATATTAAACCCTGCAAAACCTGATGGAGCTATCAGAGGAGTTTGAGTACAATGTATTAGCTAGTACTTCCTCTTCCTTGCCATAGCACCTTTCTGCCAACTATTCCTCAACCCCCACAACCATGGCAGGTAGGCAATGCTTATTACCCTCATTTTACAGATGGGGAAACTGAGGCACAGAGCAGTTCCATCACACGCCCAGAGACACACAGTGAGTCCGTGGCAGAGCAGGGAATAGTACTTAGATCTCTAGACTTGCAGTTCTGGGCTCTAAGCCCTGGATGGCACTCCCTCTCCTTGCTGCGTGTGGTTCAGCTCCAGTGTGGGAGGCTCACAGTTTCATTAGTCCTGTGGGAGACCAGGCAGGGAATTACAGGGAGGTCCTGTCTAAGGCAGCTCCTTCCTGCAGTTGTTCTTAGGGATCCAGGATTGGACGTGAGTGTCTCACCGTGAACTCATGTTCACGGTGTACGTGTCCATAACCAGATAATGTAGCTCCCTGTCTTTGATCTCCCTGGCCTGTGAGGGCTGTCCCAGATGCTGTGCATGGTAGAGAAAAGCCTCTTGCTGGATTTGCCCAGCCTGCAGCTTCAGGCAGGTCTGTTCACGTGTTTCTTACTGAACTCATCCCCCCTCGCCTCCTTTTTTTATTACAGGGCCAAGGTCCCGTTTGTGCAGGTCACTGAATCACAGTTTGCAGAGTGGACAGGCACTGCTGGCTTGTCAGTCCATCGGAGTTGTGTACAGTGTGGCCCCTCAGAGGCTGCTTGGGTCACTCTGCCAGCTGCCCATCCTTGCTCTATGCTGGCTTACTTTCTTTTGGACCTGATTCTCCATGGCCCTGTGCAAAGCGGCGACAAGATGAGCACGGCAGCATCTCACACGCTTGGCACCACACTAGGTGCAGGGCAATGGTGAATGAGGCCCTCGGCCTTATCTCAGCCGAATCCCACAAGAGGCATTCTCTACCATGCCACGCTGGACGCCCTGCTGATGGTGGAGAAATGGCAACATACGGCAGAATCCCTTTGTTCTAGTATAAAGAGAATCTAAGGTCCAGATCTTCAAAAGTAATTATGCTCCTAATGCTCATTGATTTAAATGGAAGTTAGGAGCCTAAATAGCTTTCAGGATCTGGCCCTAGAAGCTCAGAGGTAGGGTCTAAACACAGGACTTGGAGCTAGAAACTTGTGATCTCATGGACTGAGCATCGGCCTAGGAGCCACGAACTCTTGAAATTAAAGCCTGCCTCTAACACTGTCCTGCTGTGTGGTCTTCGGCAAATCACTTAAGTCGCCTGCCTCAGTTTCCCCAGTCTGTAAAATGGGGATTAAAAATATCTACCTACCTTGCAGTGGTGTTGTGATGGTTATACAGTTAACATTTGCAAGACACTTTGAGGCTAAAATGTGTTACTACTAACTAGTACATAGGTAGCACTGGTAATTGCTTGTTGGAGATTTGTAATAGGTCATCTGCATCTATGAGGGATTTCAGAAATGCAAATTGCTTGCACAGATGTCTCTGCAGTTAGTATAACAACAATTTATAATTCTGGCACTTAGCCAATCAGTTACGGGCCAGGCATCTCACACAAGATTAGGCAGACAGGGAGAGCAGCTCACACAGCATAGCACTGATACCCTCCCAAATCTCTCCCAGGCAAAATCACACAGAGACTGAACTGCACAAGGCTGGATAGATTCCTGGCCACCCACACCCCAATCTATCTCGCAGAAATAACTTCTTAAGCAGTTCCAGCATTTTTCTTACACATGGATCTGCTTTTCGGACCATGTTAACATAGGAACTCATTTGTTTTGCATGTCCCAGATTGAGCAGGAACTGCAGTGTTCCCAAGGGAAGGTAAGTGGATCACAGAGATTTTGGAGTAGTTTCGTCAGAATTCCTTGGCAAATTCCAAAGTTCAATCTGCACACTTCGGGCCAGACTCGGAGCTCTCTTACAGGAGTGTAAATCAGAGCAACCCCACCAGTTTCAATAATTGACACTGATGTAACTGAACTCGGAATCTGGCCCGCTGTTTCTAAGGGGCAACAAATGTAAGAAATGACCACATGAAGATCAGGTTTCAAATCCACTAGTTGCTGTTGAGAAAAATCTAGAAATGAAAGGTCTAATACATATCTGATCCTCATACTTACAAACACGCCTCCAAAATCTTTGGCCGGAGTAGCAGTGAAGATGTAGCGGATATCTCTGGGACTCAGCACTTGGAAATATAAATATTCATGGATGCGTAACCCTGCGTATTTAAAAAGACAAAAAATAGACAAGGGGGGAAAATGGAAAAGCTCTTGGGAAATTCCTTGGTGATATTTAAAACTAAATTCACAATCACGCTGCTGTGAAAATAGCTCTTCTCAATGGGGGTGAGAGAAGCAACAGGTTATATAACATTTCATCTATACAGCACCTTTCATCTAATAGCGGCTGGATATACAAGGCACAATTCACCTGCCACTCTGATGCAGCCAGTTCTGGTGTGCGTGTGTGCGGAGGGAGCTGTTCAACAGCGCACAGCAATGCTGCGTAACTGTTTAGAGCAGGAAGCCAAGCATATGGCATTCCACTGAAATCACAAGGGATGTTTCAGGGAGGCAGAATTGAAATGACTCCTGGTGTAATTTGGCCAGGACACCTGCACGTACACCCCAGTGCTTGTGAAAATACATCATGGGCCCTTTTTCCAACCCCTTCTCCATAATTTTCTTAAGCCACCTCAATGCCATACCCCAGCGAAGGCTGCCCCACAGAAGCTATGATTGCATTCAGAATCATGAAAAGATCTATTGATGCCACTCTCTGGAACAATGCTCGGTGCCAATTCTGTTCCTGCAAATGTCCCATGTGTATTACGTCGCCTCCAAACAAACAGGCTTTGTAACAGTACCCCTAATGAAAGGGTTGGGGAATAGCTACCTGGCCAGTCAGGACAAAGTGCTCCCAATCCTGGCGCGATGAGGTCCCTTTTTCAGTGCCCAACACATGCCACCTGACAAAATGGTCCGCAAAACTCCAGCAGGCTTACGGCTGCGTTCCGGGCACAGCAGATGCGCAATGATCATTAGCTGAATCCCAAAGCGCTGCCATAGAAGTGCTTTAATTAAGAGCTCCAAATGTCCTGCCTCCGCGACTAATTCTGGAGCCACTTATTTCCCACGGAAGCAATTAGGGACCCATTGACAAGCAGTGGGTGGAAAGCTTAATGCTGAATTTGCTATGGCACAGAAGCTGTCAGAGTTATGCTGGATCTCCTGAGAGCCTCTTAAAGGTGTGTCCTCTTTTTCTCTGCTCCAACTGAGCCAGGGCAGGGGTGATGGTCTCCCACTGAGATGGCCCCTTCACCTGTAGTTTGAATCAGCACTTCCTGAAAGAGGCTTTGAAGACTCAGGATGGCTCTTTTACATCTTGGGAAGGGAGCGCTGGCTAGCAGTTACAGCAGGAGCATGGGCAGCGGGACACGTGGGTTCTGTTGCACTGACACCCTGTGTGATCCTGGGAGGCTCACTTAGACCAGCATTTTCACCGACATCCATTGACTTCTGGGTACCCCCAATTTTTGCAGTTTGAGGCACCCTGGGCCTGATTTCCCAAGTTCCTTGAGCACCCACAGCTCCAGATGAAGTCAATGGAGCTGCTGGTGCTTAGCACCAGTGGACATCAGGACCCTGGAGGTGTGTCAAGTTGGGTGCCCAAAAATCACCAGTCACTTTTCAAACACACTGCCCTTACCCTTTCTCTGCCTCAGTTTCCCCTCCAATAGTAAATGGGAATAACACTTGACCATAGCACAAGGGAGTTGGGAGGCGCGGTTAATGCAGGTGAAGCATAGAATATGCTCTAGCAATCCAATTCACCATCTAAATTAAAAGGAGAGGACAGCTTTAGCCCACCACACCTGCGCTTGGTTGTGATCTCTTTGTGAGAGGCTGAAGTGAATGAAAAAAGACATTGACAAAAGCCCCAAAGGGTCAAACTGCTCTAGCAGCCCAGGAGACTGATCCACATGGATGCACTGATGCTAGCACTATGGAAAAACCCCTTCCGTTGCAACCACAGACACCTCTTGATGGTTGCAGTGTCACTTAGCGGGGAGGTGTCTAGCGGCTGGAGCAGGGGAGCCTGGGGATGTGGGTTCTATTCCTGGCTTTGCCACTAACTGGCTGCGAGTCCTCGGGCACGTCGCTTCATTGTTCTGTGCCTCAGTTTCCCCATCTGTACAATCTGGGAAATGATCCTTATTAACCTGCCTCTCAAGGGCACCATGAGGCTTAAAGCGCTCTGAGATCCTTGGATATAAAGTGCCTTGTCAGTGGGAGTTGTTAATTACTACAGTATTCAGAGGACGGGATGGGAGGGTACAAGGGTGAATGACAAATAAGGGCCTTATCCTGAGAGGTGCTGAGCACCCACAGCTCTTGCCTACATCAACAGGAGCGGTCAGTGTTCAGCACCTGTCCAGCTGGAGCCCTAACCCTCTGTACTGTTGAGAGCATTCTGACATCCTGCAGCAGCACTTCTGCTAACCTACCATGAACTAAGCAACACTAACCAAATCCCCCAGCCGCGGCCAGAAAATGAATTTGTGCGAGCAGCTTTGGACCCATCACAAGACTCCTCCACAGTGTGACATAAAAACAGGCTGCTAGCCCTTTGGAAAGCGCCTCCAAACTGAACAAAGGTCGTTTCTAGAATCCAGCGGAGCAACCGCCCCTCTGGGATCTTCTCCTTTGCTTTCTCAATTTTTTAACTGCTGTAGTCTCCCCTTATTTACCTGCTGGCTGCCCCTCAATCCTGCATTCCCTCCATCTTCCTTTCCAAATCTCTTTGCATGAGTTTTGGGGCTGATTAACGGTGCTCTAATGGACAAAACTCTTCCCTCTAGCACCCAAACAAAGGCAGCGGCAGTGCAAGATTCTCCCACCTCAGCTGTGACCTGCAGGGATCACATCTCAGGGCAAGAGGATGTTGCATTATATTTTTCTTTGGCTCGCTCACTGCTTTCAAAGCCAAGACACAGGGGAAAAAAATTAAAAGCACAAGGCATTCAGAAACCCTGGATCATGTGCCGAGAGATCCTCCTGAGCCGGATTGCCACTGCTTTGCAGAATATAGAAGTGAAAATGGGAATTTATAAATAGACTAAAAACCTGACAGGTTTGGCAGGTCTCCACGACAGCAAATAAAGCAGAGCGAGGAGAATACAAAGAATAATAATCACAAATTCACCCCAAAGGGAAGCACTCAAGAAGATTTTTTTAACCCCCTCCCCATGCCTTTATTTAAGGCCAACAGAGTATCTGAGCACAAGGCTAGCTGCTGCATCAGAGCACAAGACTTTGAACAGGCAGCTCAATGTGCATATTAAACGCTTTCTTGTCAGGTCAGCACAGTCCGGCTTTGCAAGCTTACTGGAAAAGGTGCCGACCCAATGCAAGCACTGGGGCACCCTCCAGCCCCCGAGTGGCCAGTACTCACCATCAACAAAAGGCCAGGCGCAGAGAGAGAGCACCAAACACAACCAGCTGCCAGTGCCAAGTAGTGCAGCCATCTGCCAGTGCACCAACTTCCCCGCAGCTCCCAAATGCACCTCTAACTGTAGAAGTCTCAAACTGGCAAGAGAGCAGAGCTCGGCCTCTAGTTTCCACTCACTGGTGAGCTCAAGCAGCTGCTGATCTCATTGGTGAAGGTTTCAGTCAATCCACTGCTGGCTACAAGATGGTTGAAATTACCGACTGGTTCCTAGTAGAGAGGAAGCAAAAAAATAATTTAATCCCAGGCTCACAAATTCAGCCCCCACTGAAATTAGCAGGAGATTTTTCAGCAAGATCAGCAGCAAAATAACTGGAAGCAAATTCCTCCTTTTCCACCCACTCCGCTTCCTGAAAAGAAGAGTGAGTGTCTCATTGCATATTCCCAGGAGAGGGCTGTGGCTGCTTCACAGGCCTGGGTGTCAGGTGGGGTTTTACTTCAGCCTCTGCTATAGACAGGCTGTGTGACCTTGACCAAGGCATTGCACTGTGTGCCTCAGTTTCCCCCTCCGAGCCTAACCATTCAAAGAGGGGACTGCGAGTTTAATTCAATAAGGTTTGCTTACACCAGGGTGCCTTTACTTAAAATGTGTAGCCCCATTCCCTACAATAGAGCTGCTCCCAACAGTCATAAAGCTGCACAGGTACCTGCAGGACTGGGGGTAGACGCAATGTTTGTTGCTTTCACTCAATGAGGAGGGAAGGGAGGGCAAGGGTTGCAGTAAAAAGACCCTGGACGCTGGTTTTGTTTTTTACAATTGTGATTTTAATGAGGCGATCGCTATTGCTTCTCTTTCCGATTCTCTAGCCTGCTCTGCTCCCACTCGGCCCCTGACTCCTACCTGCCATCTCTGCACAGTATTTCACTAGCTTCACAACTACAGCAGCTGCCCCAGCCCGTCTCACTGCCTCAAACCCCACTCCCCCATTAATTTTGCTGTATGCACATTTGACATTTTTAAACCCTTCAAATCCCATCTAGGCTGAATTTGAGTCGCTGTCATGGTAACTGCACTGGTGTAAGCCCCGAATGAGGAAGTGCTACGCTGATGTAAAGCAGGCTCACACCAACACAGCTTAATCCAGTGGAAATTCCTCTAATGCAGACAGGGAATGGGTGCCCCTCTGCCCATGACCCTCCACCATCAGACCCTCTAGTCTGGCCCATTTCCCTCCCTCTCGCTGCACTCCAGGTCCCTGGGGAACCCATCTACCCGCTCCTTGTTCACCAGCACCATTCCCTCACCTTGGCCCAGGTATCACTGCTCCACCCCACAGCAATGGGTGCTGTATATGGACTTGGACAGCAGATATTGGACAAGTGAGCCCTACCAGTGCTCTCCCTGCCACCCGCCAGACAGCGAGCCCCACGAGTCCGCCCCCCGCCCGCCAGACAGCGAGCCCCACCAGTCCCGCCCCACAGCGAGTCCCGCCCCCCGCCCGCCAGTCAGCGAGCCCCACCAGTCCCGCCCCCCACCCGCCAGTCAGCGAGCCCCACCAGTCCCGCCCCCCGCCCGCCAGTCAGCGAGCCCCACCAGTCCCGCCCCCCGCCCGCCAGTCAGCGAGCCCCACGAGTCCGCCCCCCGCCCGCCAGACAGCGAGCCCCACCAGTCCCGCCCCCCGCCCGCCAGTCAGCGAGCCCCACCAGTCCCGCCCCACAGCGAGTCCCGCCCCCCGCCCGCCACTCAGCGAGCCCCACGAGTCCGCCCCCGCCCGCCAGACAGCGAGCCCCACCAGTCCCGCCCCCGCCCGCCAGTCAGCGAGCCCCACCAGTCCCGCCCCCCCCCCGCCAGTCAGCGAGCCCCACCAGTCCCGCCCCACAGCGAGCCCCGCCCGCCACTCAGCGAGCCCCACCAGTCCCGCCCCACAGCGAGCCCCGCCCGCCACTCAGCGAGCCCCACCAGTCCCGCCCCCCACCCGCCAGTCAGCGAGCCCCACCAGTCCCGCCCCACAGCGAGTCCCGCCCCCCGCCCGCCAGTCAGCGAGTCCCGCCGGTCCCGCCACCAACCCGCCCCCCGCCCCCCAGTCAGCGAGCCCCGCCGGTCCCGCCCGCCAGATACTGAGCCCCCCCAGTCCTCCTCCTACCAGATAACGAGCTATTCAATGACAACCCCCCACATCCACCCGCCCAGCCTTGCATCTCTATGGTCAGCTGAGGGAAGGAAGGGACACCGGCCGGGGCGAGCTGCTGGCTGCCAACCACAGAGTTGTAGCAGGGAGGAGCCGCCCGTTTCCGGTTAGAACTCCTCCCCGAGCCTCGGGAAGTTTCTGTGCGAACGCAGTGCATTGTGGGATCAGCAACCACCGCTGTCGGAGGGGCCGAACGAGACGTTCCGTCAAAATGATGGTGAGTGGGATCGGCGCGGCCCGCCCCATCCGCCGCCATCCGTCCCGGGGATGGGCCCTCCCGGCCCGACAGCGGCTCCCCCGCCGCTGGCGGGCTCTGGCCGGCCGGGAGCCGCCGTTATTTGTGGGGGATGGCGGGCTTTTGCCGGAGCGGCGGGGATCCGGAGCCGCTGCCCCGTCTCTCAGCACAGCCCGGCGGCAGTGAGGGCGAGGGGCGCTGCGGCCTAGTCCTGGAGCAGCCCATTGAGCGGGGGGCCTTGGGGTTTCGGGACAGCCTGGTTACGGTGGGCGAATAGTGGTCTCGCCGAGACTACCAGTCCCATCAGGCAACGCGCACGACCTTGCCCCCGAGCTGGGGGAGCAAGCGGTGCATTGCATGCTGGGGATTGTAGTGTATAGGTCGAAACGGCAGGGAAGGTGCAGGAAGCCTCCGGGTATTACAATTGTTACCCTGTCCTGTGGCTTCTCAAACCATTGCATGCTGGCATCTGTAGTCCTCGGGCTTCCTCTCCCTGTTACAGCCGCGGGGCCCATGATTGCCCACATTGGCTGCTGTGGGCAAGGTGAGCGTTGCATGTTGGGAGCTGTAGTCATTTTGGTCCCCACCGTTCTGTTGGAGATGGGCGTGGCTCATTTTGATTCTGGCACCTGCTGTCCCCAAGTTGTGCAGACCAAGGGGCTGTTCTGCAAAGCTCAGACCTGTCATTTCTGTGGAGGGCACTTCCCCCTGCCTACGCTAAAGGCAGCCTTAGGAATGTCCAGACAGAGACTGTTACAAAATATAGAACATAAGAAGGGCCGTACTGGGTCAGACCAAAGGTCCATCTAGCCCAGTCTCCTGTCTTCCGACAGCGGCCAATGCCAGGTGCCCCGGAGGGAATGAAGAGAACAGGTAATCATCAAGTGGTCCTTCCCCTGTTGCCCATTCCCAGCTTCTGGCAAACAGAGGCTGGGGACACTATCCGTGCCCATCCTGGCTAATAGCCATTGATGGATCTATCCTCGATGAATTTATCTAGTTCTTTTTTGAATGCTGTTATAGTCTTGGCCTTCACAACATCTTCTGGCAAGGAGTTCCACAGGTTGACTGTGCATTGTGTGAAGAAATACTTCCTTTTGTTTGTTTTAAACCTGCTGCCTATTAATTTAATTTGGTAATTCCTAGTTCTTGTGTTCTGAGAAGGAGTAAATAACACTTCCTTATTTACTTTCTCCACACCAGTCATGATTTTATAGACCTCTATCGTATCCCCCCCCTTATTCGTCTCTTTTCCAAGCTGAAAAGTCCCAGTCTTATTAATCTCTCCTCAGAGGGAAGCTGTTCCATACCCCTAATAATTTCTGTTGCCCTTTTCTGAACCTTTTCCAATTCCAGTATAGATTTTTTGAGATGGGGCGACCACATCTGCACGCGGTATTATTACACTGCATATAACTTGATTTTTTTCAAAGGCAGAATAATTGGATTTCCTTTGTAAACTTCCGTTTAGGGTTATTCTGACAGAGGTAGAAGATCCTTGTTTCTATTTCACAACATATTCTTCAAACTTGAATTGAGGGCATATATTTAATTTTCATGCCCCACCTCTGTCCCCCTTGTCCCACAGATCTCGAAACGCAACTTTGTAATTGTTTTGAATCATAGTGGTCTTACCGTAAAATGATTTATTGCTAATGGCTCAATCTCTCACATTACCATCATGGTGTAAAGATAATCATCATGTTTGGTTAGGTGTTGGACTAGCTTCCTCTTTAAGCGATACCATCTTGTTCTGATTTTTCAAAGGTAGTGAGAGATGAAAACTGGTTGCTGGCTAGCACGGTGTGTGGTATGGGACCATCCTAGAGCACAGTGAAGATCCATTGGCTGGATGTTACCATGGCCTTTTAGAGTCCCTCAGTCATTCTCTTAAGAGCATAAGAATGGCCACACTGGTTCAGATCAATGGTCCATCTAGCTCAGTGTCTTTTCCCTGGCAGTTGCCAGTGCCAGATGCTTTAGAGAGAATCAACAGAACAGGGCAATTTTGAGTCATCCAGCTTCTGTCCATTCCCAGTTTTCTGGGGTTGCAGGGTTAGGAACCTAGAGCATGGGGTTGCATCCCTGACCATCTTGACTAATAGCTATTTATGGACCTATCCTCCATGAACTTGCCTAATTTTGTTGTTGCTTTCAGTTATCTTATCTGTAGTTTTGACACTGTCCAGCCGTTTTCCTTGTCAGCCAAGTGTGAGGGACCCAAAATGTTCCCTCTCAGGCCTTGTCTACACTACAGAATTCAGGGCTTGTCTGCGACACAGCTGCAGCGCTTCAGTGTTGATGTTACCTATGCCAACGTTAGGGATTCTCCCGTTGGCATAGGTAATCCAGAGCTGGTAGCTAGGTCCATGGAAGAATTCAGTTGACCTAGAGCTCTCCACACAGGGACTTAGTTAGCTTAACTAAGCCCCTCTGGTGTAGATTTTTCACATCCCTGAGTGATGATGTTGTGCCCTAATTTTCTTGTGTCGATCAGGCCTCATTATCTGCATATCGGTTACCACCAGCAACGGATACAGCTGTGCTGGTGGCAGCACCAATGCAAGAGTGGACGGGGCTCGGGTGTTCATACCGTGGCATCATGAAAAATCTCTCAACAAGTTTACATGACAAAGTGGTAGGAATGCCTTTGCCCCATCCACGCTGCCTGCCTAGCATTTCGGTACTGTTGCCGGCTGTTGCAGTAGTATGGGTACTGCGTATCTAGTGCAGAGTTGAAGCTGGAGGGTATTCATTTCATTGTGCTTCATGCTGTTGAAGGGGGAAGGGCCAGGAATTCAGCCTCTGAGGGGGGTTACAGAACATATCCATGACAGCTTTCAGAGTAGCAGCCGACAGGTAACCAGATTTAATGTTAACAGGATCTGCTCATTTACTTGCGTTTGTTGAATTGTGATTGTATTCTAGAAGAAAATGGATCTTCACTTTGGGTCTTGGTTATCCTTCATGTTAGTTGTATTTTTCAGACAAATCTAAATTAGGGTTGAATCCAGCTTAGTAATGTAAAGGTTAAACAACCAAAAACTGCTTACAAGAGTAGTGAACTACATTAATTAGAAACTCAGGTAATTCAAGGTCAAGATTAAATTCAGAAGAAAACCCCCAAACAGCTGAAAAATATGGAAATCCTTAGTTCTAAGACATCCAATCTTCAGATTTATAGAGCCTAAGGCGGGGGGTAGACTTTGGTTTCAGCCTTAGATATGGAATTGCAAGCAGTGACACTGTAATACAGTGAACTGATTTCCTAAATTGTTCCCATGAGGGAACTTATTCAATAATATTAATTAGCTGAGCTAGAAAATTTTGATATGCACAGTTATTTTTAGGGGGACTAGTTGGCCTATTAAAATCTGAGCAAGGCATTGGCTAACGTATGTTGTCTTTTCAGCCCACACCAGTTATCTTGTTGAAGGAAGGCACAGATACCTCCCAAGGGATTCCTCAGCTTCTAAGTAACATCAGTGCTTGCCAGGTAATCGCAGAAGCTGTTCGCACCACCCTTGGCCCCCGGGGCATGGACAAACTTATTGTTGATGACAGAGGTAAGTCTAAAGTATCATGACTCTTAACACTTCAGGTTACCACATGTAAGGCAGTGGCTTTTGACTGACTAACAAATAACATCCCTGCACGATACATATTATATGGTACTTCTGTGTTCAAGTTGGGGGGGAAGCCCAAACTAAAGATTAGCTAATTTAGAGCTAAGGTTGATAGTCCTGTTCCCC